AAAAAAACACACACACACACAGTAAAAATGTACATTATTTTCCGGCACATATCGTCGTTTGTCCTCGCCAATTGAACAACGTCACAAAATGTCCGCAACGATTTCTTCTGCTGGTATATAAACTGCGTATATTTTATAAAAAATACTCAATACGAAAAAGAAAGGGCATATAAACACGAGGCTATCTGATTTGCGTGCATGCTATGGGGTGCGGATAAGTAATATCTACATTACTGTGAACACATTGAACTCTGGCACATTTTCAACAGAAAGGTCCTCAAAATATGATACAATTTTATATTCATTGTCACAAATTCAATAACCATTTCTACTCATTAAAACTAATAGCAGCTTCTCACCTCTTTTCGTCAATCTTCGAATAATAATTAAAGATATATATGCTGGTGTTCCGAATGTCATTACGCTGATTACCTTTTATTGTTGTAAAGGGTTATTGCGCGGACATTGTTTAAACGAGCTATAGTATATCGCAGAAAACATTGCAAAATCATTACAATTCATTTCAGTTAAATTATTGCGAAATAAAAATTTTATCTCAAAATATTATTGTTACAAAACATTTTCTTAACATTTTAATGAGCGAAACTTAAAGTAGTTTTGTCAATTTAAACAAATGGTAATGTTGAAAAAACAACTTGCCAAGTACCATACAGGTTTCATTTCAAGACATTAAGTTGCAATTTTGGTACGTTAGTCTATTTTTCATTCATATCATGATAATTGGTCTTTATTTAATGATATTAAATATTTTTTTTTTTGATCCAGTAAAATTAGAATGCTATTAAAGTTTAAAGAAGCAAACGAATAATATTATATATTCGTATATTAAACGAGTCATTAAAGTATATTCATGAATCTTACCTTTTAAAGTATATCACGCTACCATTTTCCTCAGTGCCATGAATAATGTAACAGATGTGTCATTACGAAAACAAGCAATAAATAGGTAACGGCGTTGATGGAATGATTGTATTGGAAAAGTGTAGTTTATATCAATAGAATAATATAACATACCCATAAGTGTTAACCAATTAGAAATATAATATTCGCAACACACCAATCTGCGAATTTAAAGCTAATTAGAAATAAAGTGCTAAAATCCACAGTTTATCAGTGACAATTCTAATCTAATATCTAATTTCTGTTATCCACAAGTCTCAGGTAAAGAAGACAAACGCCGGTCATGCTCATAAAGAAATGGAACTTCCACAATATCAACCAATTGTAAACAGTAAGTTCTTGACTCTTCTATTTCATTATACGCATTAGTGCTTATTTTATTTTATCATCATCGCATGGTTTAGAACTTTTTCTTTGTTCTTACTTACCCATTATGGGGCGTCCGTGGCCGAGTGGTTAAGGTCGTAGACTTCAAACCACTTGACCCTCACCGCTGTTGGTTCGAATCCCGACAGGGGCTTTGGATTCTTTCATGTCAGGAAGCTATCCAGCTAGCTTACGGAAAGTCGGTGGTTCTACTCAGGTGCCCGTTCGTGCCTGAAATAATGCACGGCAGGGCACCTGAGGTCTACCCCCACCAGTAAAGCTGGAACGTCGCCAAATGACCTATACTGTGTCGGTGTGACGTAAAACCCAAACAAACAAACTTACCCATTATACTCATTACACTTTCAAGGAGCGCTGATATATAGCAGTACAGTTTTTTCATTGATCCATATAGGGATGTTTCTGAAAAAAAAAAGTCTCGGCCTAACGGCCTCGCCATGTTTTAGCAGAAACATCCCTTCATGTCGCCACAGCCAGTGTTATATCATCGTAACTAACTAGTTTCGAATACTTTAACTATAACGTTTTCATTATCTTCCTCTTTATGGCAATTTTTACAATTTTTATCAATAAAAAACCACTAACGGATCACTAGCCCCTAAAATGCTATTATGAAAAGTAGCAGTGATGAGCATCTAATATATTTTAAATCTATAATCAAAACAATATTTTAGACATTTGTCCGATTCTGACGAAGAAAAATACCTTAAATCAATCCCATACTCGTCTTATAATGTGCTTTCTGACACACACCTTATTAAACTATATAATTATGGTTTGGCCAATCACCGTGTACAGTCATGTAATCATCCTGTCACACATCATATCTATATATATAATTATGTACTTAATTACTCTCACACCTTGTTATATGTTGAACTATATGTTGAACTTTACCAGTTTCATATCATCTTTCCCAGCCTCATCAAAAGTTCGCTCTGCCGCTAACTGTGTACAATCATTTATATACAAATACAAATAAAACATGCACGTAAATGTTTTAAAAAGGTTATTACCCAGCATCTAAAGGGGCCAGAATAAGATACAGTGACCAGTCAGTTGCAAGGCCGGTTGCCATCCCAATGGTTCTGCACTGGATAACTGAGGAAAAGTAACTGTTTTACTTTTGTTTTATCAACTCAATGGTTTTGTTTTTGGTGCAAGAGAAATGTCAAACTCACATTCCATGACCTTATACAGAAATTTAATCAAAAGGTTGGGTCTTGTCAAGATGTTGAAATTATAAGAGTTAGTCCTAATATTGTTTCCAATTCATGTATGAAAGGAGTGTGTATATACAGATGTTAAAGTCAAAGTAAGTTGCCACAGGCTGCACCATAGTTGTTTTCAGTGGTAAAAAACGGGACTTATCACAAACGGAAATTTCAGTACACTATTTTTTCGAAATTCATACATTATGTTTCGAGTATATCTTATTTTACTATTTTCTAGAAATAATCAATTATTGAATCGAATTTCATTGCTTCTCACGTGGATATACAAGTAGAGATTTTGATGCTAAAGCATCAAGTCGCCGGATAGAAAATGATTGTATTATCATGAATATAAGGAAATGTCAGTTTAATTAATGGTTCAAGTATAAAGAAAAGAGGAGCAATATGTTGAATAACTGTTTATTCACAATAAAACATCATATATGAAGCAAACTTGCTTAGCAATATTGTCAAGGAACTGCTATGATTATTAGATAAGCAAGTATTGTCTGGCAATATTGACCCGAGACTCATTAAATTTCGGGAGGTGTTTCGTTAGTTTACGTAACTTATTATGAATAATGCTAAAGATTTTATTGATAGTAAAGATCTCGATATTAAATCAATTAATATTGCTCGATGGCCTAGTGGTGGTAAGTATGACGAAGTTGTGACCTAGTAGGCTAAGTTCGAATCTTTGAAAATCCCTTTTGCAGTTTTCATAAAACTATTTTTTTATTATTTCTTTTAAATATATGAAACATAAGTTGATAAATCGTGTTTCATTTCTAGCATTTTTTTATTTCATAATTTTAATTAATTTTGTAAGGTGTGTAATATTTTTGTAATTCTACTTGCAATTCTACCTTATACATATACCGTTATACCAGACATCGAAATCCGTATTGTATACTTCGTATTGAATCCGATAATTACCGCCAAATAATTAACGGTCATCGAATATTTGAAAATATATATGTTTTAATTATTGCATGAAACAATGCAATTCTACCGTAAAAGTGGTATCTGCATAAAAAAATTCATGCGCTATCGAAAAAATAAATTATTTAGTTGAAATCAATATTCCTGTCGTTATTTACGATATAGTTAACGTTTAATTGCCTTTCAGTTCGTTCGATAAAATATTTACAAAAACATATTTTATTAGTTTTCTTTATTAGGTATCTAATACGATTCCGGATCACTACCGTCATACCGTTTTGGTAACCTGCGCGATGAAATATAACGAAATTCTGGAAATAAAGTGATCCCTCGGAAGCATTAATCACAACAAAATAACATAAGAATTGCAGACTCGGTTTGATTGAGTCTGTACATGAGGGATAATGAATAAGTGCAACATCCCTCACGCCCCATAGCACCGGCTTGAGCGGTACTCAATTCTCAACACTTTATAGTGTTGGCATCAATGATCCCGAAGGACCAGAAAAGACGACGATTCAATAAATGTGCCTCTTTAGCATAAATCTATTTTGTGATGTTCAACCTAAACTAAACCATTGAATGTTGACAGTAAGGGCCAAGTTAAACCCTTTACAAGAAAAAATGAAAAGGTTTTTGAATACTTATTCTTTAATGTGTAAATTATGAGTATACAGACCTTTTTAATGATATAAAATATGAAACTGATTAATGAAAGATAACTTTGTAATTTTTTATACATTTGCATCTATTCAGCCGCCATACCTTTTGCCAACTATTCACAAGTTAATTGTATGTCTTATCAGCAATCTGTTACTATTAATAGATTTTATAACAATAACATACAACGTGTAGCCACGTGACTCTTACAAAAGAACAGGGAGAATCTGTTTATATTTAGATAAAATAATGAAATATAATAGGTCTCATAAGATATAAACATTCAAATAATTTTAAAAGTGTCATTTCAAATATCATTCATGATTTATCAATCATAAAAAAGCAACGCTTGACACTTAAAAAAAAGTAAAAAGTATCCCTAAATTCAACGACAGGTCCATAGGGATACGTTATTAATTCATTTTATGAAAATTGTAATGTTGCTTTTTAAGATGTCAATATTTGTATACATTTTTTGTATTTCATTTCATTTAGCAACCTTACATTATTTTTGAATTTCTAAGATTATAAAAAATAATTGTGGTCCTTAATTGTTCAGTAATAATATTTTTTTGATTTGCTTTTATATTCAGATTTTAAGGCCTTCTCCTACCATAGCTATAATATTAAACTGTTACAAATATAGTCGCCGGTTTCTACCGGCGACTAATGAGGGATTGCTGATCCGATTTATATCTATTTACCTCATGTTGTCATGTATTTACTGTGCATGTGTTGAGAAAATAAAGGAATTGTATTGTCCTTTGCGGAGGAATAGGTAATCACTGGTTAGTTATCCGGCTTTCCTGTAATGACAATCAACGATGGTGGAAAATGAGCATGATATATGGCTAATAATAAAGGATAAAAATGTCCTACAATTCTCAATAATATTTATTTGAGAATCTTCTGCAATGTACATGTTTATATCTACCATAGGATACACTATTAGAATTATAAAAACAGTTCATCATTTTTGTCATTTACTAACAGAGAGTCGACTTATAACGCTTTATTTATTTAAACACCCTTTCCTTTCCATCCACCTTCTATAAGCATTTATAACAAGTTTTATCTTTCCTTTTGATTCGATTAATAAGGTGGAACCCATAGCGGAATACAAATACCTACAATAAAAATGATAAATTTGTCAGTGTTATATCTATTCTACAATGAAGAAGGAGGTACATTCAAAATCTTTAAGTCACACTTCGTGGTAAAAATTCAACATTTGTAGATGTTTCTAGAGTACGATACAAATGATATGTGTCGAACTAGCTACGGTCCAATTTATACGTTGGGAAGATTTTGAGATTATTAAAATGTCTGAGCTATGTCCTGATTATTCACAATCAATCGCTGCTGTGGTGTTTTTACGACTGTTTTATTTCCCTATGTTATTTGATAATATTGGTTCGTTTGATATTGCCAAATAAATTGTGGGGAAGAACCTAAGATAGCCCGAACATTTACAACTGTTAAATTTCAAAGGACAAAAAAGCGTGTTTGTGAAACACAAATGCCCCCTTCTCAGATTTTTGTCAGTAAAGTTTTTAAAAGATGTTTACTTATTCACTCAGTTGTGCACAGGAAAATTGGGAACAAAACTGTAAACCAAGTTATATAACTTGACATGTCATGTTTTAATTGTGAAAAAATATTGGTTGGCAAGTCGTTGCTATGACTTGTGATGAAAATGAAAATAAACTAAACTTACCAATCAAATTTCATCAAATATATATATAAATGCAAGACATTGACTTTGAGCCCATTGACCTCTAAACTCCATCTAAACTCTAAGGACAATGTAAGGTATGTTCCTTGTAAATATGCGGTATTTGTAAAAAATACAAAAGTTAAAAAGTGTAAAAAGCCTAATCTATGATAAACACAAGTGACCATGACCTTGTGACTCCCAACACTGAAACATCTAAGGTATGTTTCTTCCAAAAATGAAAAACATCCAAATTTTAAGGACAATCTAAGGTATGTTCCTTGTAAATATGCGGTATTTGTAAAAAAAAACAACAGAAGTAAAAAAGTGTAAAAAGCCTAACCTATGATTAGCACAAGTGACCATGACCTTGTGACTCCCAACACTGAAACATCTAAGGTATGTTTCTTCCAAATATGAAAAACATCCAAACTTTAAATAAAGGCTGTTTAAACAAATGTGTAGCAATCTATATTTGGCACTCCTGATCTTGACCCAATGACCCCTTAACTAAATTCAAAAGAAGACCATTCAATATATCTTCGAACCAAATACGAGAAAAACATCTGTCCATGATTCGGGGCTGTATAAGCAAATTTGAGGAAATCTATTATTGATACCCATGTCTTTGACCCACTGACCCTTAACTCAATCAAATGGAAGAAGTATGTGTTATCTTTCTTACCAAATATTAAAGACAGCTGTAAATCAATAAAAGCTGTATAGGCAAAAGTGTAAAAATCTATTTTTTGGCACTGGTGACCTTGACACAACTGACCCTTACTCAATTTAGATAGAGCATTTTGAGCGAGTTATCTCCCTACCAAATATGAAAGACACCTTTCAATGAAAAAAAGGCTGTATGGGCAAAAATGTAAAAGTCAATTTAAGCACTGTTGACTTCGACCTAACTGACCCCAACTCATTCTAAAGGAAGATTTTTTTGCAAGTTATCTTTCTACTAATACCAAATCTGAACGACATCTGTCAATAGATAAAGGCTGTATGGGCACAAATGTACATTTTAGCACTCGCGACTTTGACCCAACTGACCCCTAACTCCCTGCAAAGGAAGAAGATTTCTTAATTTTATGTTCCTACCATATATAAAAGACATCTGCCAATAGAATATGGTTACACCTGTAAAAGTGTTAACATCCATTTTTGACATTGGTAACCTTGACCTTGACCAAAATGACCCTAACCGAACCCAAAAGAAAAGGACCTCCCTAGGCATGTCTCTATTAAACACGAAATACACCAACTTAAAAATAAAGGCTGTATCTGCAAACATGTTAAAATTTATTTTTTTAAACAAATGACCTTGACCATAACCCAAGTGACCCCTGACTCGCCAAAAAAAAATAGAGGACTATTGAAGGTATCAATCTTCTAAATATGAAAGACATCATAAAATAATTGAAGATATTAAGAGAAATTTAAGATAAATCAACTTGCCGGAATATGTTTACCATTATGCAAGACTTATTTTCAAAGTAAGCGTGGAAATTATGAAGCCATTAGTATAGGCACAGCTTAAGATATATCCAACTTGACGGTTTAGGTTAACCATATCCAATTTTCAAGCGTTAAAAAGGGCAATAACTTGGAAAAATGGAAGCCATAGTTATGTAACTTGCTCAAACCATGTACTTTGTAATGGTAAGTATGTAAATTATAAAGCCATTGGTACAGATTGAACTTAAGAAAACAACAAATTGCCGTTTTAGGTTAATCTCATACGGACAGACGAAGGAACAGCTCAGTTACTATATGCCGGGGGGGGGGGCATAACAACATACGTCTCTCTTATTTGTGTCTTACAATAACATTTGTCGGAAAGTGACGAGAGCTGTCGAACTACTACGAACACATAATGTATACAAATTGGACATGTATTAACAGATAGTATATACAACTTTCATTTTAAACTACTTTTGCTATCTTATAAACTAATTTCAACTTACTCGTCGTCCCCAGCTGCATTTTGTGCTCTAAATCCGTCTTTTGCGATGACAAGGTACTGTTTACCTTTCTCTAACTTTGGAAACGGACAACTTGATTTCCAGTAAAGCACAAGTTCGTCGCCTTGCTTATGTTCAACGGACCCTGCGTGAAAAAAATAAACCAAACAATCAAAATAGCATATTAACATCTTTTGAAATGATTTTGTCATGTCATTGATATATAATGGACGCGAGTATGCCTAGTCGCTGTTTTTTCTAGCCGTTTGTTGTCATGTTGACTTCCGTTTGTACATATGTGCCATAATTGTTACGTATTTACTGAACATGCAATTCGTGTTCCATACCGAACTACATCGCTCTGTCGTTACTTCCGTAATAGTGCATGTTGACGCATTTAAATATCGACAAAATACAACTGCGTGCATTTTTGACACGTGAGACGGTGTTACTTTCTATGGTTATTATGTTCCGATATTTTTAAGTAATAGAAAATTTACTCTGCAAAGGAAATAAACACTGTGACGTGTTTTTTTTCCGAAGACACTAAAAACGTCGTAAAATAACATGTTTCCAGATTTATGCTAATTTGTAAAATGTAATGAGTTTTATAAGATGTAGCAAAATATTGTTGTTACCAAACTTAAATACAGACGACCTGTTAATATAATTTTACATACTGGAAAGTGAGAGACATTGTTAAAAAAAGTGGCAAAGATTGCTAGAACTTTTTACATGATCTTAAAAAAATAGATTGTTAAAATTGTTACTAAGATTGGTTTAAAAGTTTTAAACAATACAAAGAATGCAAATGCGTGAAAATTCTAATTTTCTTTCTCTTTTATATTTATATACAATATTGAGGATATTGAATGAGTGTAAGTTGAATACTGAATTTATAGGACGAGTTGAATAAAAATATATTATGCGAGCCCCTGGAGTTCATTCAGCGAATTCAATGAATTTAGTATTAAACTTTCACGAATTTAATATTCTATTTATCACATACCAAAACTTAAGTTTGTCGGAATTGAAACAGACCCTTTTGTCATTGACGCGCCTGTAGTATTACGCTAACAATAAACGCTTCTTAACGCTATGTTTATATAACGAAAATGACGTCATGTCAAATTTATTATATGCACGGCCGTGCAATACCATTTTTACAGAGTCTTAAAAGCTGCACGGTAGTGTGATAAATAGAAGATTTTGAATGAGTGTAGTTTAATACTAAATTTATTGAACGAGTTGAATAAAATCATATATGTTGTTTTATTCAACGAGTTCAATAAATTTAATATTGAATCTACACGAAAATAATATTCTATTTATCACATATATAAAATAACAGTAAACTGTAAAATAAGTAATTTTTCAATGATAGGCCTTTAGTGTAACGCGCTTTAAATAACGCTATGTTTATATATAGCGCAAATGAAGTCACGTCACAGTGTTATTACACTAGTGTAATACCGTTTTTTCAATAGCTTTATTACACTTCTGCGCTGCGGTTTATGTGATAAAACAATTTATTACATAGTATTTCTTTATTGGAACATAAGGGCAAAAGAGTAAATGATTGCTTACTAACCTGGATGTATGCCAGCGGTAACTTCAGTTAATGCTCTAATATTTTTGGAATTAGGATCGTCCCATACATCTTTAACTTTGACGATATCGGCTGTAAAATGTATGTATAAAAGTATTATCTTCAATTCATCTTCAAAAGTTTTAGACATGTATCACAAAACCTTTAAAGAATTGTATAACATGGAATTACCATTGTCTGACCAGTATTACACTTATTGCAAGTATATAGGACATTATATTTGAAACGTCCATTTTCATTTTATAATCATGAGGTTAATATAAATCATATAAACCGCTGATGCAAATTTATTATTTACTTTTAACAGGAAATTGCAAGAGTATTATAAATTTGTTCTGGTACATAGTATCATGTTATTGTAGTTCATAGATTCGTTATTAATACATTTTATTTGACATATGGACCTATACTGTTTGCTGTATAACCCAGAATGTTTATACTGGATCATATAACATTCCAGAAGTCTTTATAACTTTTACAATTACTATTTATAAACGCATATCTCATTTTATACATCGTTATAGTATATCATAAGTAAATGGCTCAATACTTATATATGAATACATAATAACAAATGGCATGTGGATAAACTAGTAAGGCCAACGCTTATCATTAGCATTATCAGTTGGCATATATATAATTGTATGAACGCTAATACAAATGTAGGCATATTATTGTTATTATAATCATTCATTTTTTATTATAATAATACATTTACTATTTTAATTACATATATAACCCAGTATGAACAAATGTATCAATTCAGATAGTATAGCCTATGTGAGGCTGATGAACTAGTAGACCAATTCATATCAATAAACATTTTATCTATATGACAGTTTATGAAGCTTTTAGTTTCATTCGGTGTTGTATTTTAAGCATGCAAGTTTACAAGAATACAATGTCTGATCTTCTTTGTGCAAGGGCAATGGTCTCAGTTGCTCGATTCGCACTAGCTTTAATGGAAGCCGTATTTGTGGTCAGTACTTTGATGGCAGAAAGCTTACTCACTCGGAGATGAATTAAAAATAATCGCGAATCAAATTCCCATTTTGTAAGTTTATAACTATATCTATACAAACCAAAGTTTGCTTTATTCGGGTTACAAGTATACTGTAGCAACTTGACAGCTGGTTTTCGACCTTTCCTCATCATGTTCAAAATCTCATTATCAACTGAGACTGAGCAGGCACCTTTAACAATATAAAAGATACTCAAATTCTCTCACCTGAATGGCGCTGATAATATAAAACTAAACTATAGCAAATGCTTCTTTGATTTAGTATTATTTGATTTAATAAATAGATTTATGGACAAATATTCACTCACATTTAATCTATGATTTTGAAAAATTGTCAATGTAGAGTACAGTTAGTGCATTTCAAATTTAGCAACAAACAAATCAATAAATAAGCTGACATCAGTCGGGTAACGAACTGCCAGTTAATTGCACTGAATTTTAAAAGTGTGTAATCAGTGAACTTCTAGTGGCGTCAGATTCACAGGTTTATCCAAAAGCATTCCATTTTTCAGTATATGAGGTGTGTTCGAAAAGAATTCCATATTGTGTAAATGGACTTTTGCTTTTGTCATTCCCTCGACTAGAAATGCAGAGGAACATGTATGTCTGGTATGATGTATACATCCAGCGGGGATCTTTTTTAAATTTCGGAGAGAAACTAGTCACTTGGGGCAAGGTTTGGTGAATGGGAAGGTTATTTTACAATTGCAAATAGGGACTTATCGTACCGAAGTCGTAACATGTTTGGCGCCTGTTTTGATTTGAGTTTTCCTTTTTACGTTCAATACAACGCATTTAAAGTACTTTCCAGTCGTTTTTTAAACTGGCTCCTGAAATGAAATACCTACACTAGCTAAAGAAAAAAAACAAAGATGCATAGAAAAACTATTATTTGCTCTCAAGGAGCGATTAGCAATTTAAGGCCTTTTTCTAGCTTTGGTAATTTCTTTAATTTCTAGTATATTTTGGCATCAAATATACACTTTGCATGATTCGGGTCTTTTTTCAAGTTTTACAACTAAATAGAACAAATACACGAGTTTACTTACTTTTAAGACATCTACACTGTTCGTTCTTTGAGTCACATTTGTAATCAATGGCGACACCTTTGCTGGGACCGGTTCCATATATCTTGCGACAATATTTATCTTCAACAGATAATAATAATAATTTAGATATTTAGCTAAAAGTTAAAGTTACATTGTTATATTATACCACATTAGGCTTTAATTTCATTCAGATAATTGTTGTAACAATGAAAAATTTATCTATTTATCAGTAAAAAAAGTCTACTTATAATTAATTGTTATTGAATTATTTCATGTAAAACAACTAAAGGAATAATTTAACATATGAAATCGACGTTAATTATCATTCTGATAGATCAAAGCTCGTGACAATGCATGTTCATAAATATGTTTGTAGGTTTCAGTTAACCTGATTTAATTCTTTCTCCGATTTAACTAGAAATGTGTTCATAGAACAGGTGGCCCCTACACTCCACTATCTACTGACATACAGCAGGTCAATATGACAGTGGGACAGACAACAAGAAATTCTACATGAATCCCCCTACCCGTAAGTGGTAGTGGCAAGAAAACAACATTTTTTTCTGATGCTGACATACTATATTTCCCCAGCAGTAGATGCACAACCACACATGCTGACCATCAGTCCTGTAAACTTTCATGACTAAAGGTCAAATACTTTTTTTAGCTACGCATCACACAATTTGAAAATTGCAAATCTGTACTAAGTCATGGGCTATATGACTAACTTAACTGTATTATTCCACATGCACAACCCAGACATGCTGATCAATATTTATAATAAATTTGTTGATTCTACACATGAAACAACATTTTGAAGCTTTTTTGTGAAGGGCACTTATTTTACAAAATTTTATTAGGAATACACCCACATGTACACAGCAGCAAAGGCCGACCAACATTTCTGTAAAGTTGCATGACTCTAGGCCAACTATTTTTCGGCTAGATGCGACAGAAGTTGAAAATTTTACTAAGTCACTTGCAATTACTTTAATAAAACTGAATTAGTCCACAGGCAAAAACCCATGTGTACAACTGTAATTGTTGATCAACATTTCTGTAAAGTTCCATGACTCCAGATCAAATACTTTTTGAGCTACGCACAACACAAATTAAAAATTGCCAATTTTTACTAATTCAATAACCCTAACAAAACTTAATAAAATCCAATGCGAAACCAAAAGAGCACAACTCCACATACTGATCAACATTTATGTAATTTTTGTTGACTCTAGCTCAAACACTTTTAGAGCTACCTGCGACACAACAGTTGAATGGACGGACGAACGAACAAACGGACGGACGAACAGGGGCAGATCTAAATCTCCCTATAGATGAGTAGCGAATAAACGCATTTGCGAAGTCTAGGTAATTGCACGCCGCATGATTTCCAATTGATATTTAACAAAATGAAATCCAAAAATCGGTACGATAGGTATATGTAAAAATTATCTAATTAACGATTATCATAATTTTATGGTATTAATTATGCTTTGGTACTAAAACGTTGCGACTGAATAATATTGTAAACCGGCCACATGTCACCTGTTTGACACTTACCATCTTGCCAATTCTCATGATCGAAGGAAGTGCACGGTACATGTACAGATTTTGTAATATAATATAATACACGGGTTATAATATTCTGTTATAAACACCCTGGTTTTTCAATTTAAATTACTGATGAAACAGTCGTCTTTTAATTCTTTAAACAGAAAACTTTTCAAATGCATTTGGATAATTGAATTGTTGTCCCTCATATTTTCCTAAATCTGTTAACAATATCAGTTATTATATCAAATCACCTTTTCCGTACTAAGCGTTTTAAGTCATGCCCAAATAACCCTTTTTTCGGGTGACATACTTAGTAACTTGAAATTACGTTTTTTTAGGCACACTTAAATGCACGAAATGGTTAAATTTTAATGCTTGTATAAGAAGGTCAGAATCGAATATACATATTTCAGGGAATTTGCAAATTTGAAGGACATTGATTGTGTAAATGCAGAAATGTTCAAGTTAAGGTATTAGCACCCTAATGCATTACCTCCGCTTTGAAGAGTATTCAAATAGGTTAGAACTACTGTTAACTACATTGAAAATGAGGGCCATGGGTTCAATCCCCAGAAGGGTCAACTTTTTTTTTTCTTTCTTTTTTTTCTTTTAACATTATTTATGTATCTCTTATGTCCCATTTGGAAAGAAAAAAGTGTTTAATTTTGATTTTTTAATTGATATAGGTATTTATTGGCTAAATTATGCTAAATCTAGTAATAAATATGGTACCTGATATTTTCAAAGTGTAATATAATCAAAACAAGACGGTAAAAGTATTTCATATTTTACAAGATCAACCAATATACTTTTTTAAAAATTTAGGGAAACTTTGAAAACAGGCACTCATTTGGGTAAATTTTAAGTATTTTTTAAATTAGGCTCCCTATGTAGAAAAATGGTCAGACACGTGGTAAAAATGGGTGGGGTAGGGTAACATTTTTGAACAGATTTCATAAATTTTAAGTAGAAACCATAATTTTGCTTATTTGGATTGTTAGCTGAATGGTACTATTTGTTTCTTACCAAAAATTAATGGGAAAACATTTTTCATAAGAATGTTATTGCAGATTATTTAAAGGTTCCTACTTTCTAAAAAAGGGCCCTCATAACATCCTAGCTTGAGTTCAGAAAAGTGGTCATAACTTGTTTTCCGTACGGTAAACTTTGTTTAAATTTTGCATACAGGTGTACTTTAAGGTATACATCTGACTTATGATGTCAATTTTTTAGTTCCTGATAGTGCCCATTAGGGTCCTAATACCTTAATTACTTAAATTCCCCATTGCATTTGTTATTTTTGTATGAAGTTAATGTTGAATAGTGATAAAAAATATTATTTCGTTATTGCTTTTTTACCCTTTGCAGAATGCGTATGCGCGGAATAGTAATTCCGTTTCTATGGACATATCGTTTTGTAAAAAAGATCTATATTCGAAAATATTCTTTTTAAAAAGAGCAAAACAGTTTTCTTACTTAAAGCCAAAAACAGTGCTTTGAAATATTAAGAAAACTTACTTACAAGCCTATACTTTAATCACATGTTGAATAAATTGTACAGTGTTAAAATTATTAAGAAAATGATTTATGTGTTAAAGAATCGTATATGAAAAAGAAAACTCATGTTATCTTTTTTCTTTGCAACTTGGAAAGGTATATTGCTTATAACATGATAAAGCCCGTTTATAGACTGCCAATGGATCAAATGTCGTTCATTTTACATATTTAACCCCACAGAAACATCTTCCCAAATAAACTGAAAGAGAAGGACACGTGTCTACTCGAAAATGTACAATCATTGGTCTATTAACCAGGATTGGTAATAAGAAATTTGTCGTATCCTTTATTTTGTAGCAGATGCCGCCATCTTTGTTTGAAAAGATATGATATTTTATAGTAAGAATAATTTTTAATAACGATATTTGGACTCAAAATAGACCAGACGTGTACACAAGCTTGACGGTTTGGACCCAGCTGAAATTGCTTTATCCCTCTCTTATCTTTCCTATTCCCGCAATAATGGTGCATATTATAGAATCTTAAGTACATACAATAAAATATTATATATAAATGTTTTAAAGAACAGACGAATGATAAAAAAATATCAACTGCGTTAACCGTTAAACTTGTGGAACGTTCTTTCTGGATCGGGTTCAAAAGTGGCTTCAATACATTTTTGATATACATTTATACTTTTACTAGAAACAAAGAAAAGATAAAGCGGGAAATGCGTGTCATAATAACATGTACTTTTTAAAATCAACATGTAATTCTTCTTATAATCAATAACCTGAAATAGAAAAAGCAATATTAATACTTATAACAACAACAATTAAACCTATCTCAAGCAAAGATGGGGGCATGTATTATAAAAGGATGTGACACAGTTCTGTTTCCCAGATCTGTAAATGAACAATAACTTAACAAAATAATTCTTAATAACTTACTTATTTTTCTTTTGTAACATAATTATGACAGAAAGATTTACAGAAGAACACCATAAAGTATTGGTTTAATCTATTGTTTCCTCACAAGAAATAACATGAAGTCCCTGGTTGAATTGAAAGCCACAGTGGCGACGGCAAGTAATTTAAAGTAAATGACCTTAAGCACTGGGTCACAAAGACCAATTTCATAAAGTTATACCAAAGTTATACCAAAGGCTTGCGCTGCTAGACACAAAAAAATGCAATTTTTACAAAAAGTCATTTCCGAGAACTTAAAAAATTCTACCTGGATCATAGTAGTCAAACACATCCACCGATACAGGTTGTCGTGACTGTTTGTCGCCTTCAAAATTATCCTCAAGTCGAAACAAAAAGTCATTTCTATGTGATGTCAGCTGTAAACATATAGTGTAAAATTATTGAATAAAAGGTCACATATAATACTGTACTGTATATCACTTTAACAAAAATTCTGTCAGAGAGGTCATGCATTTATTTAAGAGAAGGCAAGTAGCAAACTCCAATTCCCAAGGGGTAGGTGTCACACACAAGCAAAAAAGGCCAAGATAAGAAATTTAATACAACGGAATTAAAAAAAATCAAACAATTGAAAAGCAGATCTACAGTAAGCGAGTCATTTATTAGATAAATATTATTCAATAATACTTACCCTGTTGAGATAAAATACAACCAGTCCGTTTCCGTTTGTTGGCATCTCAAAGTCATCAATATTGTCATTATCTCTCATTATCTGAATCAATATGCAGTATAATTATAATATAAAATATACATAAAACCTTAACATGATGCTTAAACTTAATCATTACTTTTGTACATTTTTATAATAATTGTAACTGTTATTGAGGTTTTATTGAGACAAGTTTTGTTAATTAAAAAAAAACAAAACAAAACAAACAGCAAAATATTGATTTACGTTTTGCATATCTTCTTTTATAACTGTAACGCCAGTTTCCAAGTTGAAATATATCATCGACATACCATGCTGGTTGCCCGGAAGTGCTCTTAAAAAGACAAATGTATACATCAGTCCTAAAGCTTCATATTATAAAAATTGTTCCTGTAATATGAGACAGATTATATAAATGTATAAATGCATGCTAAGATAGCAGTGCGTGAGTTAATCTCCAGTGAGAATTAAAATAAGTCTTGTAGTCAAAGAAAACACTACTCTTATTTCTAATTACAGCCATACACACTTATCACACTTGTGTCTCCTATTTCTAATTAGAGTTATATGCGGTCTGCTTGTGATAAACTCATATACCAAAATTACATTGTGTCAGAAATATTGCTGATTATTTTTAAACATTGGCTTTATATACAGCATTAATATAGTTAACATTGATTTAAACTGAAAAATAAAAATGGATCTTAGTGACGTTCCACCACCAGTAATGAATTGGCGGGATCAAATTTAATTGAAAATTGGCAAACATTAAAATTAAACGTTGACCTTGTATTTTATGGACCACTAAGATTTTAATCAGAGAAAGAAAACGTGTCATAATTCGTGACGACGACAGAGAAGTGTACCGAACTTGTGACCTTAGTGCAAATGATACCAAAAAGCTTAACACCTGTTATGGAAAGTTCAAAGATCACGTGCAACCAAACTAAATCCGATATTTGAAAGATAGCAGTTCATGAACGAAACACAAGGAAGTGACTCAATTGACGCGTTCGTGGCGAGGTAAAGAAACGAAACCACATATTGCCAATTTACGGACAAAAATGCAAACATTTGTGACAAAATTGTATTTGGATGTAATAGTTCCAAAGGCCTCTGATTGCAATTTACATCATAAACACAAAAATCAAGTCAAAACACAAAACGTCTAAGTCCTCTTCAAGCAAATGACCAGTTCGTTTAATGAGCACCAAGAATGGTTACTTCAAAAGTGAGAAAGGTCATACAATGTACAGACACAAAATGTCACAATTTGCTGCCGCAAAAGAAAACTTCCCACAAAATAATGAACCTTCTATAAACTCAAAACCGCTTGCTAGCATAACTTGTGGTTATGTTACACTGTCTGGGAGAATTGTAAAGCCTAGTATTCGTTATCAGAATGATACTTGATACTTGATTCGTGTGGGGGTTGCGTTCATCGAACGCCGCCTTTCCTTGTTGATCTTGTTTATCATATTTAATCAGAAGTAAACTGACTGATAATTATATCTGATAAGCGATCGTTGTGTAAAAAACTAGATTATTTTGTAATGATAGCTTTAAATTACATTTATATGAAATAACTGTTAAATAATTTCAAATAAAATGTTTCAATAATATTATCAATGTTTATAACGTCCGTTTATTAAGATATACAATCAAATTATTTTTATTTAAAGCAGGGAGATGTAATATATGACTGTTAAATATATAATTGTATACATGCACATGCTTAGAAAGTAGTGCAACAGTAGAAATCGTAAATATACGATACAATAAATGCCAAGTGACGCTAAGTAATGTCCGTTTTCTAAAATATAGATACAAATATTTGCATAATAAGTATCACTTTTGCATGTAAGAATCAGTTACATTTTCTTGATATTGCATGTTTTAAGTAACCATCCGAACATCAGGTGTTCGTAAAAGTCAAGAAGAGGAAATCGCAAAAGTACCCCGATAAGCTTCAAGGCTAATTTTGATAAGGCTATTCAATAAAAGAAGTGGCATTACCTACCCAATGACCATACCTACTGGCTCCGGCTTGATCAGAGTTCAGCATTTAATCATGAAAATTACGCATTTTTTAATATATAAATCCGCAGATGTATTCAAGCAGTGATAATCATGGCATTTCAATATTACACAGTTGTGCCAAACCGGGCAATATTTTTCAATTCACTCAAAACTTGAACATATTTTTTTGTGATTTAGAACAGATGTCTCACCTTACATTGAATCGAATACACTTCATGTTTTCAACAATATCGGCTGCTTGAGCTTGCCTCTTTTTCCTCCCAAGGTTTGACGATATATTAACATCAACAGGAGCCTCTGTTGTCAGCAAATCATAATCAGGAACTGCAGGGTTAGCATTGCACTTGCCGCACACGTCACAATCCCTTAAATGTAAAATATGTTTTAATTTAAGATAAACTTAAGTCTATAAATCAGTCCAATCAATATCACTAATTTAAACCCCTTTCTCTGTAAGTGTTGTAGATTGAAACTAGCATGTCTTGATACATGTCCGAATTTTCCGCGTAACCCATGACTTTATTTGTACCCTTAAACTATATTTTGTATATTTTGACTCCGTTGAAAAAATCTTCTTACCATTTTACACAACTCGAAGGTACATATATCTGTATATTATCATAATGTAATATTAAAAAAAACAGACATTTGCTTCCGTCAAATAAAAAATCGTATTTTAGCTTTAAGTAATTAAGTACTATGTTCTCCAGAAATTTTTCAGAAAATAAGAAATGATAAAACACGGCCTATGGACAGTTCACAGGCGGATAGACGTCAGTGAGGGTGTAAAAGAATAAATCACAGATGGAGAGAAGTGGGGGATCTACACGGCATGGGATCACAGACGGTGTAATTGATCAACGAGGAATGGATGCAACAGAATATAAAAGAATGGAGCATGAAAAAAGTTTATAAACAGAAGTATCACATACAGAGAAAAGTGAGAGAGGGGCAAAAGAATATATTACAGACGCAGAGAAGTAAAGAAGGGATGCTAAAGATAAAGGGCGAAGGTTGTGTACCATAGAAGTTATCAAAAGATTTTTTATGACAATAATACACAGGACAAGAGATACAAAAATGCTTAATACACAAACATAGATATGTAAATCATTTAAATGTTAAGAAAATACACAGAGGCGAAGAAGGATGTATGTCGTCCTAGACGGGGGATGACAGTTAGATAACAGATGACCTCACACGAGGTAATAAAAATAAAAGAAACAGGTAAAATGGAAAACATTTAATGTTTCTGTACTGCAAAAAACGACCGGGATAGCCTTTTAATGATTATATCTCAAATGCATTTAGTGTTTTCAAATGCAAAGGGAGTTACCCTGTCAAATAGAATACGTATATACTTATCAATAGGACTTGAATGCAAACGTAAATGCTAAACTTTAATGCAGTTTATTAAGTTCGAACGGGCAAAGTAAGACCGACAAACCTGATTTAGGAATTATATTTCCATATCGCGTTAACGGATATAGGATGGTGCCGATGTTGAAAAATTAATCAATGGACTCACAGAAGACACAGTATTTCAGAATTATCGTTTAACCCTTTCGCTGCCAGAGGGTTATTGTTTTATTGATTACGTATTTGCCAGAGGGTTTTCTAAGAAATTACTATATTATTAATTAATATAATTATTATTATTTGTTATTAGTATTATAATAATTATATGTTTCCAAATCTGTGAGTAAAATAATAATTATTGTCGATGGTATAATTTTCTTTATATTTATTATTATTTTTATTATTATTATAATTGATTTATTATTATTACTACTATTATTATAGAAACGGCTAAAGCCGTCCATATGGCAAATATGCCGAAAATAACAGGGACGGCATAAGCCGTCCCTATGGCAGTGAAAGGGTTAATCTAATGATTTTGAGAATTTCGCAAAGTCCGGAAAAAAATTGACGAAAAGCATTCCAATCAAAATACAAATTTATTTTTAAACCTGTTTGAAACTGAGATGATCACCAGTAAGAGATATTTTAACTCCGTTTGGTAAAAACAAGCAACACGCTTTTGACTATCAATTTTAATTTGTTGAACAATTGATTGTGTATCAAACCATTAATATTGGACGGCAACAAATAGGTTTATCATAAAATAATGGAATAACGTAATTGGTAGTATAGAATCTAAATGATATGCCAAAACGATTTATTTATTATATAGTTAGTAATTATAAAAAGAAAAAAACCCAAGAAATATCAAGAATGAAGCGGAAAATACATAAATGCAGTTGTGAAGTTACCGGTCGTTAATTATTATGCGAAATTTTGTTTTGAAATCTGTAACTTAACCGCCGATAATTTATAAACTATGTTAATAAAAGTCCAAAGCCTCACCCGAGTTTGGCAATATTTCGATCATTTGGAAGCTTGTACACATCGCCAACATCAATGTCTGATATATCAAACGGACAAATTTCGTCGTCCTCTGCAGGTCGGTTATAACGAAGTTCGATTCTCATTCTTCCACTTCCAGATTTCCCAGTTACCAAAAGTCCAAGCTTACTGTCACCTCTTTCAACTGGCAACTTTTATAAGATTAAACATTGCTCTAACTAATAATTCTTTTTATGTAATAAAAAGGCACTAATCATGAAATAATTGATAAGAGTAATACAACGGGACAAATAACTCCATTAAGGGCTAAACACCTTGCAAAATATATTATAAATAATTACTTTTTATGGCCTTATTTAGAACAGATTTAAAAAAAGTAAGCCTGCTACAAATATTCATGAGCAACATAAGACTTAAAAAGAGTACAAATTATTCAGTGACTGTTGTAAAGCAGAAATTTCGCACACGCGTAACCCGTTTTTAGCAGAAATTGATCAATCCTTCAATTTACATTTCATTAATCAATATTTCATTATTTTCATGAAGAGAATATGAAGCATATAAACCATATTTACATCTAATGAATTAAACTATTTTTAATTAAGGACTGTATATCAACAGCGTATTTTGACCACCATAATCAAGCTGTATTTATATACACACACGTGCAATGGACAAGGTCATTTAAGTAAATGTAGTACAATGAATGTCGTATTAAACGTAGGATTCTTGATTGTCGCATTATTCATACTTTGACATCCTAGTCAAATCATTTATTCGTGACACAGGCCACTGGCCCTTGACACATAAATGTAAAATACAAAAACATTTGGTGTGTACAACATAATTACCTTAAATTTAAGATAAGTAAGTACATATTGTTAACATACTACATGTATATTGTTAAATAGAAAAAATATCAGTAAGAGGCCAACAGTATTTTGTTATATAAATTCTATCTATACTATCTATATTATTGTCTTAAATGTACGAAGTATATTTATTGTAATAATACTACGGAATAACAATATGCATAATGATATTAATGTTACACAAAAATATATATTACTTAAAACGTTGTTAACATATTAGCTAGTAGTCAACAAAATGTTATAAGAATTCCATTTAATTTTCTTTCTTTCTAGTGAGTAAAAAGCTGTGTGTTTTACTAAAATATAATTTCAAGTACTTAACAATATACGTAATTTTATTAAAAATGTAACAAGAAAATACCTTTTTGGAATGTATAAATTTTGTAAATCTTGCATTACCCGACATTTAAACATCAAGTAAAATGAATGTTTTATGTAGGAGCTTCAGTGATGGATTGAATTAATCGGTCTTTCTCTTGATACTCTTAAAAGACGGAGGCGAACTTTTCATTTTCAAAATCATACCTTGTCACCAATTTTCTGTAGTTTAAATCTTTCATTTTTTACAGATAACTCGTATCCGTGCCAATCATTTGCAGTAAACGCCACTTTCAGGTCTACATCCGGTGAGAATGTTCTGATGCTGTACTGGGAAAGTGCTTGCAGACCAACAACAGTGTCCTTTCAAATTAAAATGATAAAGATAAGTGTATGTTGAATAAACTTGTCTACTTGTTAACCAATAGCTTTAACATCATGTTAACCTTAAATACATCATAGCATATAATATATGTTACTTTATGGAAATTATAGAATACTAAAGTGCACACAAAAAATTGTGTACACAGTCAACAAGATCTGTAAACATCGCACTTTGGAGTCAAACTTTGACCCATTAGTGCGTTACTCAGGTGCATATGTATTTTGAACATCTCACGAACGACCGCACTTTGGGGCCATAAAAATTGAAACTATAAAAATGAATTTTTGTATTATTTTAAAATTATATCTTGTAGTTAATACCAATATAAACCTTAAATAATGAACGAAATAGGTAAAATGTATTAAGTCGGATAACAATACTGACAATTATTAATTTCATTTTGCTATATCTAAGGGCTGCAAATTGCATAAATTATAATTTTGATATTCAATTATTGTCTCATGGTTAGAAGCCTTAAAGAAAGATATATAAATCTGTCTGTATTGTAATATTGGTAGTAATAATACACTAGATAACATTTTAATTAAGCTGTACCCATGAACTATGAATGCGAAAATTGTGAAATAGGGTTGAAATAAAGTTACAGCTGTAGCTGAAACTTCACTATAAAAATGTTACTTCTAAGTTTATTGTAACAGTCATCGAAACAAAAATTGCAAAGTAAGAAAATAGGAAGTAATAAGACCATTTAACTGCATTTTATTACTTCCCGATTATATTCAAAATGGGGTTCAAAACTTTTTAAGTAAATGTTTGAGAGAACAAAATATTCTTCATGGCATCTGTTTATTTTTAATACTTTCACAATTTAAATACTAGTTTGTTTAACAGTCAAAATTAGAGATATTTAAAGTGGTTACAATCATAAAACATTCACCACTTAAGCAAGAAATATACTTTTCTTTTATTACTGCTACATCACAATTTAAATGACATTTTGGTATGATTTCACAGTGATTTATCCAAGTATCAGCCATCTTCAGCTTCACCTTAAATATGTATAGGTTGCGGATTAAATATTAGTCAATACTTAATATGTAAGCAGAACTCAGCTGACACATTCAGAACTCTGGAACCGAAAGTGCATTGATATGTAGCATAGTTTCGCACTTTTGGGTCTGTTTCTCAATTTTGACTCCATAGTTTGCGTGGTGCAAGTCACCGCACTTCGGGTCCAACCCAAAAGGAGGTATGGCCCAAAAGTGCGGTGCTATATAGCTTAATGGGTGGAGCTGAGAAATAGTATTCGGAATATCTCGGACCCTAGTCTAGATCAGGATGTACAGTTGTCTAAACCTATAATAACAAAGGAGGTCCACGCAGGTAGCAAAAAAGTGTCTAAAAACTTAGAATTTGAAAATCTTACATAAATCAACTAGGGCATTTAAAAAAACGAAAACAAATTACATAGTACAGAAATATACTGAAAACGAAATGGAAAACCGTGCCATTCATAGTCAAATTTATATTAAAATTTTAGCGGTTTTCATTTTATGTCATTTCCCACAATTTAAAGGATTATTTTGTAGAAAAAAATGTTATGATTTGAAATTATGCAGACAAGTTATTGTTATAAAGCTTCATCAAATAATATATAGACCTCGAGAAAAATATTTCAAGCCCACAAACTTCGGTGGAGTTCCTTTATATTTCATAAAAATAAGTTCTGTTTAATTTCTGTTGCATTTGCATAACTCTCGGCGTTTCAAGTTTACCCTTTCTGATGAAATTGCAAATACCTGTGTACTTTTAAAGACACCTCGTGCATCCTGTTGTGATGTCAGCCATCGTACAATGTGTCCTGCTTTCGCTATGTCATTTAACTTCAACATGGCCAAAAGAGCGTAAGCCGTCGTTTCAACAGCATAAGCATCTACCGCAGTGTTCACTTGTCTTGCCCAGTAAATTTTTTCTGCGATTATAAAGGTATAGTTTGTTACAAATAGCATACAATCACCCAGCCAAAATACAAATGTCATATAATTATTTGTTCTTTGTTCTTTTCTTTTATAACTAACGATCGCTATAATTGAAAATTTGTTTCACCATTCTTATGAGAGCTCCAGTTTAGAAAAAATGTAGACCATTGAAACATTCAACAGGTCAATTTTGTAGATGACCAATGCATCTGTTCAAAGTCAAGGCAATCTTGCTCTTATTTTTCAAGGACACATTAATGAATTAATCTTTCATTTAACAAATTATTAATGAAGACAAATTTTGTTGATTATCTAGTTATTAAAATGTTTCATTAGAAGAAGTACTAGTTGTAATCATTTTATCATTTCAGTCGTTGGGTCACGTTAAGGATGCATTATGCAAATAAATTATTTATATATTTGTTCGTCATAAATGTTACATTTCCGTGGCTTTTTTATTTTTTAGATTGAAAAGTTCTTAAGCGAGTTTGGCAAAGGACAATTTATAGGTGCTATAAACGAAATTTTTATGGGTTTATAACAAAACCACTTTGACGGTTTCTGTCGATGTCTAGTGTCCTACAAATCAAACATATCTAATTATTTACCACTTTATTTACCACAAGCCAGACTACTAAATAAGTGAATAATACATTGTTTAATGAGAGTCTGTAGGGTGTTTCTTTTCATATCTAAATTCCATTTTTAAATCGCACTTTGATAAATTTTAAATCTGTAGTGTAACGCCCAGATCTGAATGACTCATTATGTATAGGTTAGAGTGCATATTGGGTGTTCTTCGTAAATAAGAAAGCTAAAAAGGAGCGGAGCTTGCGAAGCGACTGTAGCTTTCTTATTTACGAAGAACATCCAATATGCACTCTAACCGACTTAGTGCTCCGCCCATTTTTTTCCGCCCAACACACTGCGTGACGTCACACGATAGCCTAAATGTGTATAACCATATTTGGAAGAGGTAGCGGTACACATTTTCTGGTCACGTGTTTTGCATAGCTAATTCCCGCATTCTGTCCAGGTAAATCAGACAATATCACGGTGCATATCCATATCGGTACCCTCTTTGCGAAATATTCTCAAACGGTACCCTCTTTGAACATGCACAGGTCATTCTCTGCAAAAAACAAACCAGCGATGGATAACAATGCAGTAAAGTTTCATTGTAATAAGGAAAGGAGGTATTACACCTAGAGAAAGATGTAAACCACGGAGCACTAGAATGTTTTATTTATGTGCTGAATTGTCAAGTGCCCGATTTTCATGTACTGCAACTTCACAATAAGCTACAAAAAGTCGACATGTTTTGCCTCGCCCGTCACCTCGACATATTTTTCGGGCTGAAATGAACCTGTGGCTTGATTATATATGCATCATACATATTTATTATGTTCATATACATGTCATCTTCGGATAAATGGCAGTATATTGTCAAAAATAAATGTAACATTCATAAAAATACCCTACTTTCGGTTTTGCAGCGACACGGGCTGTAATATTTACATAAAAAGTAAGAACTATTACATACATACTTTGTTAGAATAAAGTGAAATTTTTATTTGGAAATTATAAAATGATACTGGTTCCGTAAGTAATAAAACATTTTTTTACTGTTCTTTTGCCTGTTTTCATTTCAACGAACCTCTTTTTTTAATTATATGCTGTAGTGACGATATACATGTGCGTGTACGGAAAAACATGATGCATAAATATTGATTAGTAGGAGGAAACTTCAAGATCTCTGCACATGCGTATATTTCACTTTAGCGCTCTTCGAAACTTAGCTCCGCCCACTTGCGTTTTATAATATAAAACGTTCAGTTTATATAAAATCTGTTCTATTAAGATATGAAACCTGAAAATTTGAAAAATCCTCGTCGGTGATTGGCTTAAAAAAATTGGCGAGCACTAAGAATAAGTAAGCGCAATATCAAGTTTAAACGTCATAGATATGTTTTATTTAGTAATTAGTAATTCTATAAAACACTTGTTTAATCAATGTTTTTAATAATTTCACAATTCTTAAACCAATAAGTAAAGCAATATATATTAATGTCAACTGCATATTTAGCATAATTTAACCTGAGTGAGTGCGTATATCTAGAATCAAAAACGACACTGGCGAATGTAATATTTTGCTTACTTTTTATAGAGATCTTAACTTTTATTTACCTTTAATTCATAACAGCAAATATGCGTTTCCGGACAGTTAACAATTATGTTTACTATCTAGTTTGTCTATCGGTACAATCCCCGCTTATGTGATGACATGATGACATGAGCATCAATTAAATGCTAAAATTGGAATATCTAATAATTCGTTTTGACAAAGAATTCAATGGAAAGTTTGTCAAATTGTTTGAACATCGCAAATAGGTGGTTATTTGATTAATAGCTACTTAGATGAAGAACATTGCTGACGCCATATACTTGATCATAAGTTTCCACTATAAACTGTACCCATTAATCACTGAAAAACTCAAAACGCCCTTTGAAAGTAAGAATACATGTAAAATTATTACTATATTCAACGTAAAAATCGTTTGATTTAGAAAAAAAATGCCACATCGACTGTGTTATATTTTTCTTGTCTTTCAGGAACATTAACTCCAGTATGTGCTGGAGATTTAATCTCTGTTAAGGTCGGTGTTAGTGAGGACGAATGATGTTGCAATTCAACAAAGTCTCCCATAGATAAACTCTGCAGATTTCATATTATATTGTTGTCCTCATTTTTTTGACAATATCATCAAAGAGTGTTAAATTCCAGGGTTTTACTATTCAGAATTGATCAATTTGAAAGTATTCTTTAGATATGGTTGTATGATTCAACAAGACATAATTTTAAAAACGACAAGAAAATAGCCTTACTTACTTCCCCTTGACTTTTCAATTGAGACTAACAAATTCTTGAAAGTCAACGTATGTTTGCTATTAGCCAAAGCAAGGGCATAAGTAGTTATTGCAAGATCAAACGGTCTGTTTCTAAGCCATGTTTTATCCAAACCTTCCAAGTAGTTTGTTGCAAGACCAATAGTGTGATGTAAGCTCTGAAAGAAATATAAGATTTTAATCCAATATGTACTTCGAAAGGACCAGTAAATTTCAGACCATTCAAAAGTATTAAAACTGACTCAGATGTTCTTTGCCGTATATGATGACAATAGAGTCAAGCTTACGGATGCGTGTGAACAATCACATACTTTCAAATTTTCTCCCTAATAATCAATGCGAATACGATACAACGGATAGAAAATACCGTATTATGTTTTGGACAAATACGCCTCCATATAAGGAAGTGCCGAACTATATTTTTGCTAGTTCCCACCTTGAGTATGGGTTACGTAGTGCATGTATTTGGAAATCGGAGTCGAAACAAGTTAAGTGTACTTCTCGGGGAGCCTTTTTTATATAAAGCTGTAAAATATTCAAACAAGCATATCGACAGTTTACCGAGGTTTATTTAATCTAAGCATAGAATGTCTCATCTTTTCACAAATTTTAAAATCTAGCGAACTTCCGACTAATTTGATCTACTATCCATTGCATCTGTTATGTATATACCGGCAGTTATTATGAATTGACCACTCAACCCGTAGAAGGATTTGTTTCTGCCAGTGACAGTGAATAAATTGTGTACACTAGAAATAGAGTGTTATACATCTCATTGCTAAGCGTTCTCCTTTATGCAATAGTTGATATTGATGAAAGTTTATATGCAGAATTAAAAGATTACCATTTCGATCGATTTTCGGTCCTGCGAGATATCAATATGTGTATGTTGATCATAGCAAATTACAACGTTAATAGCATAATATTTGCTAACCATTAAATGCATGTTGAGATATATACAACTGCTTTGGAGTGGAAGTTTGCAGGCATTTGAATACAAAATTACTGTCAAAAAACAATTCTTATAATAATAATGACGAAGAAAATAAATGAAAAAAACGAAAGAAAAAGGACACTGGTGTTCATATGATTCAAATGTCTGCCGGTCAATCCTGAGGTCCATATGTCCGAGATTTTCCTGCGTCAAGATCTTGATTCCTTTATATGACACCAACACTAGCTAGTTCTAGGTCAAAAACTAAAAGAAGGTTCAAAATAGGTTAAGCCATTCATCACAATCGAGCTTAAAAAATATGATTAAAAATAACTAAAGGAATTCACATTCACAATCACAACTTTTGGAAAAAAATGAGTTTACACAGGTTAACAAATATTGAATTACACCAGGAAAAAAACACTCTTAGAGTAGATTGACGTTCATTAAAAATAAAAAAATAAAAGCTTTCCCAAAAAGCTTTTCAATCACAATTCAAAGAAAAAAATTGTAACAGAAATATTCAATCTGTTTGCGATGAATTTATTAATTTTTATTAACATCAATTTTGGTCATGTGAACTAAAATTATTTATATGATTATAACAAGAGCGATCAGTAATCACATGTGTCGCCTCATGATGGCCAATTTCATGTTGGGACAAATTTTGTGACAGACGGACAGACAGACGGACAGTGCACAACTAGACTTTGTACTGATCATTCCTGTACAGTTTGGATAAAATTGCACTAGTAGTTTATGAGGAGTAGTCCGGACAAGCTTTTGTGTATCTGGCAACACACAGAAAAAAAACACCTTTTTATCAAAGGGCCATAACTCGGCCAAAAAACATTCAACCGAAAACCTCGTGCAATATGCGCAAGGACTTGAGCCAGAGATCAATCCTGTAAAGTTTCATTGAAATTGCATTAGTGGTATAAGAGAAGTAGTCCGGACAAACTTTAAAATCAAAAATTATTAAAGGGCCATAACTCTGACAAAAATCATTGAACCGGAAAATGCTGACAATATGCACAACTAGACTTAGTACTGATCATTCCTGTAAAGTTTGGATGAAATTGCACCAGTAGTTTATGAGGAGTAGTCCGGACAAGTTTTGTGATGGACGGACGGACAGACGAAAAGATAGACAGACAGACGGACAGACGGACGGACAGACGACGGAGAAGTGATCCCTATATGTCGCCACTACTCCGTAGAGGCGACACAAAAACGATGATCAGGATGCTGATGACGATGATGATGATGATAAAAATGATGTAACTTAATGTTTAACATACCGACTGCATATAATTACATTCCAAAAGACTTATCAAAACAAATGCAGTGAGAGAAGGTGTACTGCCCGCTTTTGTAGCTCCCTGAAAATATAACAAAAGTTAACGTGACATATGTTTCCAGAAATCTTTGTTAAACTTATGACTATATAACATTGTAAAATTCTCGCTATTGCCCAAATAGATGTCCAAAAAGCACTTAGACTTAAATTACACCATTTTAATTGGAAAACCACCGGGTGAGGTTTTCTTTTCAGTTTCTTTGTAACTTTAAATTAATCAAGCCTGTATTTTTGGCTATGTAGAGGCTATCCCATTCACACACATATAACATTTCTATCAATACCATGTAAAAAGCTAGTTATAAACCATTGTTCAGAGCGTTTTTAAAATCAAAGGTTTGATCAATTAAATATTTTAAAAAGAAAACCCATAAACCCATGTTATTGTCAACAACGAAAACGTTAGTGTCAATTTTCGTAACGAAATACATGTAGCATGAACTAAGTGTACTGAAGAAATGTATAAACTAAAAATTATTAACCTTTAACCAAGCACCATTATTTGTGTCCTGTATCTCCCTAAACTCCCCGTTTCTGTTCATGTGATTTTTCAAAAAGTCTAAGGTCGGATAAATGTCAATTCTCACATCAAGCAGATCATCGATGACAGTATTTGCATGACAGAATACTTTAGCTACAAAGGCTGTTAACCTATTTGAATGAAAAACATTGTTATATAAATGTTATACCGGCAATGAATATCAGTCCTGTTCGTTTAGTATTAAACCTTACAACTTGGCAAACCCATCAATAATGTATCAAAGTTTCATAATTCTAAAGCAGATATGAAACCGAATAGCATCTATAATGTTTAAACCAAACATTAGCAACAAACTATAGGCTACATTTTTTCAGAAAACTAAGTCTCTCTCTATATATATTTTCAGAAATTAACCTATATAAGTACTCTTTACATAAATTTTTTCACGGTAGATATATACAGGTAAATAAATATTTGTGAGTATTAAAAGTCACAGTTGACGTATCCGTTTAACTTTTTACTTATTTGTTTACAGTAGATTTACCTTTACTGTGTCTAAATTTAAATGATATGTCTTCCACTAAAATAGCTATAATGAGTATGTAGTCGCAGTCATCAAAGTTGTTTGTTTGTAATTATTTAAAAATACAAATTAAATGCTAGTTATAGTATAGCCAATGTTTATGTTTATGTCCAAAACAGTGTTAGCCAGCTCTGCTTTACACTGATCATAATCGTGGGCTACAGAAACTATCGCTCTACAAGATAGTTTGTAATAGTTTTCAAATTTTATATCCACATTAGTTCACGTTGACTATCCTAAGAACATTTACTAGTATATTTTGTAATTAAATATTCACATTTAATAATTATTATGCTATATAAACTAACCAAACACTTGTTGCTCTGTAATATCGAGTATATATATCATTATTGCAGCAGGAGTAGGAGCCGTCCGAATGCCGGAACAAACTCTTCTCTCTGTTTACACCTACATAAATTAAAATAAGGAAAATGCTTCTGAAAGTTATTATTTAAGCTGTTTCAAAAGTAAAGTGAATAAAACTTAAATAAGTGCTAGTTAAGTATCATTTAACGTGTCTAAAGACGACATATTTGTATTAAGGCTAGCTTATGTTTATACCAATTAAGCAATATTTAAAATGATGATATAATTGTAATACTTGTAGCATTCCCATAAGGAAAGGATCACTGAATTTATGGTAAATACAATGAGCAGGAGATAAACAATACTTTATTTGCGCTAATGGAAAGCAAATAGATTTATAATAAATATATTTAATGATTTCAATGAAGGGATCACAAGTTATGATGACAGTGATCTTTCATATGAGAATTTACGTAGATAATTTTTACACTTATTACTAAACTCCGTACAATTCATTACTTGAAAATGACAATATATATTAGCTTGTTGTAATGATGTTAAAAGTAAACAGATAGTAAAATGGCTTTGTTTACTTCACATGTAAAGACTTTTTCTTACCATATCGAATATTAGTATCGCCAATGACCTCAAAAGCTGCAGTGACCTGATTTGTTTGCTTCAAATACATCATGGCGTACACATTAGGAGCGGTTGTGCCAATTGTCTGCTCTCCACAACCATGTGGACATTGGAATAAACTTTCAGCACCACTAAGAATGTTCTGCACTACGTTGTCCATGACGTTGGCTGTAATGATTAAAGTAAGATTTATACACGGTATATACTGTAAAATGTAACGTGATCTACACCAAATCATGTAGAGAATTGTTTTTTGTACCAAACCCTTTTCATTTATTAAACGGGTACATGCTGTCAATTTTTAAATAATGAGAAAAAAAGCTTCTGTTTCAATTGATTCATTTGAAGCATTAAATAACTAATTATACTTAATTAGTTTGGTTACCTTTTGGGTTTCTACTTTAAGTCACTGTCTCTTAGCATCAACATAACAACTCCCAATTGGTTTATATTTGCTATTTGTAATGTTGTAGTGTAGCTTGATTTTCAAAAAAAAGTTTTTAAGTTAATTAAGGGTGTGGCATTCCCGCTTTTTATTTGATTTTGTTGTAAGGTTTCAAAGCTACTTCTGGTCTTTCTTACGTAGAAGTTATGATTTTTGGGTTTTTTTAAAAAAAGACCTTGCATCGTTATATTATTATTCCTTTCGCTAGAATAATGACTTATCAAAAGAACGAATCGAGACAAAAAGTCAGTAAGCGACACAAAAATATCAGGCGAAAACATGATTTCTGATGCCCATAGGAGAAGTGAGAATAAACGTCGATCGCTTCAAGACTTTACCGAATTTTCAAAACCCCTGTGAAAATTCGAGAAGGAGAACAAGCGTCTGGTGGATACAATGATTAGAATCTTATAGTATGAAGAGGAGTGAACCTTGGAGGAAGAAGAAATGCTTGCATCCCATGGAAAGAGGTGTTATGAAGAAAACTAAAAGTAAATTAAAGATAAATGAGTTTTAGAATTGTGTGCTTTACAAGAACCTGTAGAGAAACGTTCTCCGCCCTATACACATCATGACCTTTCATCGTTCTATTCAAACACGAGAATCACTAGGCAAATTACCCTGCAATCGTTATTGGTGGAAAAGTTTGCTGACAAAAACTTCTACTATTTAAAGAGCTTCCATCTCTTAAAGGAAATTGAACTTTATAGAAGCTTGTGATAAACCTAGCAATGTTTTTTTTATGGCTAGATTGTTAAATTGGCTAAGACAATTGTAAGGTGCAGATAAGAAGGTCACTTATCTTATTCCTAACGAGGTTAAACAGATTTGCTATGCTTGAATGAATATTTGCCAAAATAGAATTCAATTCGTCTTTCTTTGATGTATCTAGGCCCTTGGACAATACCTGATACTATTTTAAGTTGTGATGCATGTCAAGAACGCTGTGATTTCGGAGAAGGAAATAATTTAAATTCTTTATTTTCTGTATTTTCGTCAGTCAGTTTACACATAAGTGCATTATAGATGTTAGACTTAGCACTTTGTTTACATCCGGCGGCTTCTAATTTTAGGCATTCAAGGATAGTCATTTTGTATAATAATCTTTCCTCGTGTATTGCTATTTATTCTGATAAAAATAGTTGTTCGTTTCTTAAAAAATACATAAGACAGATTTGTATCATTTCTTTAGTTTATGAATTTGAAATTGAAGCTTAATCAGAGAAAAGTCAAGAAGACCAGATATCAAGGTTTGATAGTGTGAATTTCATGGTAATAAATATTTCGTTTAACACGGGTTAAAAGAACATACAGATCTTGTCATTTTAAATTCATGGCGATTTTACGATTAATGTGTGGGCTATTTTTCTTGTTTGTTTTCGTTTTAATTTCAGAGGTTCAGTTCATGGGTTTGAAAAATGATCTTACTGTGTTAATTGTCAAGCAATTTTATGCTTAAGGTACATGGGAAAAGTTGAAGATTCAATGGGAGGTTTTTCGGATTTTTGTACTTATTTCCATATGGTTTCTTCACCAGTTTCTACTGAAATCTCAGTTTCTTAGTAGATCTATGAAATCGGTTGATTTGATAAGAAATTAATTCAGTGGTGTTAAAACAATACAACTGTTATTTGGTGCTTCAGTGGAGCATATTTAAAATTATTTACTAAATCTCTTAAATGGATAAGTAAACAAAAAACTGTATTTTAATACACAGGCGGCTCCTATATCACCAGAAAAGAGTATTTTTAATTTTTTGGATTTTAATGAAACTGAAATTGTGCTCATATTTTCGTTGCCAAGTTGAGTTGCTTTGACAATATATTACATCAGATTGACTGTTTTAACAGCGATTGACCAACTGCTGACACCGGAAATTGTTTAGGATGAAATATAAAATCTGTCTTAAATATAAAAAGACTGCCCCACACTTTTATAAAATTGCACATTACCTGTCAGGTAAAATCGTATGGATATTTATAAAACTTTCTTTGGATCACGTGAGTTATTTATCGTCCATGCAAATTAAACTACAAAATTAGAAGGAATGATAGCTGAAAGAAAACAACTCTGTTTAGCATTCACCTGTTCCTTCTTTATATACTTGGATGGGCGTAATGTCACTTGAAGTGTTTTAAGTAATTAATTTCAGAGTTCAGGAATTTTTGTCTTTGTGGGAGATTACATAATAAAGACCTTGCCTCCGATTGAGGGATTGCAGTTAGCGCCATCAGTGGTGCTACAATTGGTAAAACCAATTTTCTGCTAGAAAATAAACAGCTGTTTTAATAAATATGTCATCGTTCATGCTGGTACCACAAATATTGCCAATGGCAATTCTTGTGATTATATTTTCTCTGGTCTGGCAAATTTGATTGCAACAATTCGACGCTTGAGACCAGACAATCATTCCTTCTATACTTCCTCGGCCGTGAAGAAGGTGAAACTGAATCTATTTTCAAAGAAGTAAATAGTCGTTTTTAAAACGAAATGTTCAAAGAAAGTTGTGAAATCCTTTCGACCATTTTGATTAAGGGTCAAATTAAAAGATTCTTTTTGCCAATCTAAATGGGGTTACATTTGAATACAGAGAGTTCAAATCGTTTAAATCATTTCTTCTGCAGGTTTATTTCCACTCTGAATTATTGAATTTTTTTATGCATTTCTTCTTAATTGGAAACATCTTCCAAAGATAGTAGTAATGTAAACAATTTTTGTAACCGTTTGATTGACGTATGTAAGTCCATAAATTTACTGAAAGCTAATGGTAGAAGTGGTAATGACCTACATGTTGGTCGAACCACTTGTAAAACTACCAGTTTAGTTGATTATGTTTTACTTTCCCTATGTGGTCTTCCAAATATTGTTGATTTTGATATTTGCGATTTTGACCCCATTTTATCGTAAATTCATAATAGCATTTCTTTTTGTATTAAGTTTTATTCTATTTTATGTGTAACCCAAAATAGTTCATTGTGTCACTGAGCTTCATGACAGTGATGTTACTGTTAAAAACCTTTATGGGATAAAGCTGTGAATGGTGTATTTAAAACCAGTTTTGATTACGACAGTGTTTCTGTATTACAAGTAGAACTCTCAGAATTATTGACAAGTAAAACTTATTGTGACAATGCTATTAATAATTTTACTGAGAAAGTTTGTCAACTATTTTACAATGCTGCCGATAGCTGTCACTTGATTATTGAAAAAGACGTAAGAAATCACGTCGGAAAATGGTGTGTTGATGATTGTAAAGTAGCAAGAAGAACATACTTGTCATAGAAGAATTATAATAGAAGAAATAAGACTGATACTAACTACCTATCAATTGTGTCTAGTGGAAAAGCTTATAAAAAGATGATAAAAAAAGAAAAAATATAATATTGATATTAATACACGGATACTTGGGTTAGTCATCAGACCCAAAAGCTTTTTGGAGTTGGTTAAAAAGATACTGCACAGATAGCAGGGATACAGTAAACAATATTGCAAAAGATGTCTTTTTTTGAACATTTTGTTAAATTAAATGAACCTGATCTACATTTTGACGATTGAGATTATATAGATCTTGAGAATATAAGTTGTAATATAGTTTCTTAAATGCAGAAAAAGCTATTGCTGAAATTAAAAAAGTTGTAAAAAATTAAAAAGTAATAAAAGTCCTTCAGTGTTTGATAATATATTAAATGAATATCTAAAAAAATGTAAATAAGGAATCTGTTTTAAATGCAATTTGTTTATTGTTTAATGTTATTTTGGATTCAGGTATTTTTCCTGATATTTAGAGTCAGGGTATTATTAATCTTAAATATAAAAATAAGGGTGACATATCTGATCCCAACAATTATAGAGGGATTACTATATTAAGTTGTTTTGACAAATTATTTACCAAAATACTAAGTAATAGACTGAATGAGTATTTGGAATGTCACAATTTACTTAACGAAGAACAAGCTGGGTTCCGATCACAATATGGTACCACTGATTATATGTTTTCCTTAGAGATGTTAATTGATTATTATTTAAGTTGTAATATAAAGCTTTACTGTGCATTTGTTGACTATAGGAAGGCATTTTATTCTGTTAATCAATTACATTTATTGCACAAACTTTTGTCACATAATATTGATGGTACGTGTATTGGTATAATCCACAATATATACAGTAAGGCTTAATCTTGTGTTAAAGTAAACTGTGAGTTAATTAGTTTCTTTAGTAGTTTAACCGGTGTACAACAAGGTGAAAGTCTTTCATCAATTTTGTTTTCTATTTTTGAACGATTTGACAGAATATGTATCTAATAAATACACAGGGCTTGTCAATATCTCTAACGCAACTCGTGAATGTCTTAGTGACGATGTCATTGATATTTATTTTTAAATTGTTTCTTTTGTTATATGCTGATGATACAGTACTTTTAGCAGAAAGCAAAACTGATTTGCAAAATGCCTTAAATGCTGAGTGATTACTGTAATAAATGGAATCTTGTTGTAAATGAAGCTAAGACTAAAATAGTGGTTTTTAGTAAGTCAAAATCTTCGGATGATTTTGATTTAATGTACAAAGGTAAAAAGTTTGATTGAGTAGATAACTTTACTTACCTTGGAGTACTTTTTAATTATAATGGTAAATGTTTGAAATAATAAAAATCTTGTTGATAATGCTAGAAGAGCAATGTTTTCTCTGATCCAAAAGTCCCGTAAATTATGTCTACTAATTACTTTGCAACTACATTTATTTACCTCTGTGGTTGTACCTTTCCTTCTTTATGGAAGTGAAGTCTGTGGATTCGAACAAGTTGAAATTCTAGAGAAATTTTGTATTTTTGTAAATTTATTTTGAATTTAAAAGCTTCTACACCTAATTGTATGGTTTATGGTAAGTTAGGCATATTTGCACAAGTCTTAAAAGTGAAAACAAGAGTTTTGTGTTTTTGGAGTAAAATTATTAATGCTAAGGAAAAAAAGATATGTAAACTTCTTTATAAAATAATGTTGTCTTTGTCCTCTAGGAATGTTGTTAATTCTAAATGGATACATTTTGTGAAAGAAACACTTAGTAATCTTGGCATGTCAGAATGTTTTCATTTATAGAAGTTAGGTAATATTAATCACTTTAAAAATATTGTGAAGCTTAGACCTCACGATCAATTTTTACAGGATTTGCATAGTACTATTGATACATCTTCTAAGTGCTTAGTGTATCGAACATATAAAATACTGTTTTGAAAAATATCTAGTTGTACACCCATTTGACATAGGCAAATATTTATTTAAATTAAGAACAATGAATCACCTAATACCAATTGAAAAAGGCAGACATTTGGCAATTGATCAGAATAATAGGGTCTGTTCCTTATGTCCGTATCAATCTTTTGGTGATGCATTTTACTATATACTTATTTGAATGCTCGTACTTTAATGACATAAGACGTAAATCTCTTTTCCAAGTTTTTGTATTCATTCCAATATTTTTAAACTTGACATATTAATGAATAGTTGTGATTAAAAGATTCTACAAAAATTATCTTTACTTTGTAAAAACATTAAAATTTAGGTACTTCATACTTCTTATTCTCCGTTCTCATTTGTTACAATGTAAATTACATGTTGTATTGAATTCAGAACTTGAAATGAACGAAATGATCTTAGGTACTTCATACTTCTTATTCTCCGTTCTCATTTGTTACAATGTAAATTACATGTTGTATTGAATTCAGAACTTGAAATGAACGAAATGATCTTCTTTTTTGTTTATTTTGCTAGTTATAATTGTATTCTTTTATTGAGATATTTATTTGTGATATACGTGACTTTTTAACTGTTATTTTTGTTTGTTTGTTATAACCAGTTGCATATTATATGCCTTGGTATAATAAAAACTGAAACTGAAACTGAAAAATACTGTCTTCAGTTGGAATACATATTCTTGACATATGTTAGTCTAATGATAGTAATTATGAATGTAATTTACTACGTTACTTATTTGTACAATGTGTTTATATTTGAATCTTTTCTGAAGATTCCTGTATTTAAATTTGTTCCTGCTGCTTAAGGTAATATCTAGCTGTTTGCAATCTTGGTTAAGAATTCTGTTTCTTTTGATTGCTTTAATTTGTTGGGCTTAGGGATGGTGGTAATTTTATTATCTCTAAAATACTTTGACATTGATTTATTTCCATTACTAAAGATCTTGTTTGCGACACATAGGACACATTACTTTATTACTTTAATCCGTTTTGAGTTCTGATATAAAAATGTAATCTTTTTAAAGTTTAAGCATTTAAATTACTTTTTAAGCTTCATTGGCTTGTTTACCTATTGTGTTTCTAACTTTAGCCATTGTGACTTAGCATCAACATAACCACTTGGTTTAGATTTGATATACATACACCTCAGGTATTTATAGGGACTTATTTCCAGTTTTAGTTGTGTCGCTTGCTTTTAAAAAAACTGCCCTCCCTATGGCTTTTGTTTGGATGTTATTTGTTTTGATATATTGTACTGTTGCATACACTGTTTGTGTTTCTCTTTATTCATTTCAGGCGGTTATTATCTTACGTACTTTGACTATGAATTCATTTCTATTATTTTATATTTTGTTTGCAACACATAGAACAAATAAATTTATCAATTCAATACGTTTTGAGTTCTAATACAAAAAAAATTAATTTGATATCCCTGCTACCAGGCTAATATTGGTTATTTAAGTCAGATCAATGATGTCAAGTAACCTACTATAATGAACATATAGTGGTGATAAAGTATTAAAGGAAGAATAAATTTCTCTCGGTAGTGTTCACAGTTGAGCAAATATTACTTAGCCGATGCAAATATTTGAGAACAACGTTCATAATTATATTTGCCAGATTCTAAGTACCATTGAAAACATTAAAAAACATTGATGAAATGTTCCGTGGCGAACAATTTTGGTTCATTTTACTTTTTTGTTAAATTTTCTTCGGCCTCCTTCATATATTTTGCCATAGTGTTACCTTGTGAAATGAAATAATAATACCTTGCAAATATGCCGTGGCCGAACCTGTGCCTTGTATTGCTTTATTTGGTAGTGATAGGTCAACTGAGGATGTTTGCTCCGCATATTCAGTATTTGAATATTTAATGCCTGTAAAAAATATCATATCAAAGAAACAATATTAATTTAAAAATCATTTGATTAATCTATTGTAACTTTTTCAGAAATTATTTATTTACATTCCATTAGTAATTCAAATTTTATATTATTCCTTATTCAATTAAACGATCGTTATTCAAAATGACAACTATCAAACAATCAATTTTCCTGCCTCATCATAATTGAGCCGCGTCACGACAAAACCAACATAGTGCGTTTGCGACCAGCATGGATCCAGACCAGCCTGCGCATCCGAGCAGTCTGATCAGGAGCCATGCTGTACGCTTACCAACTCTATTACAAGTAGAGAAACTGATAGCGAACAGCATGGATCCTGATCACACTGTTCGGATGCGCAGGCTGGTCTGGATCCATGCTGGTCACAAACCCACTATCTTGGTTTTGTCTCTTTTCAACTGGTTTGAAGAAAGATAAGTGGTTCTATTCAGATGCTCTTTTGTGCCTTTGTCAAACACAAAATCATCCCCTATCCCCCTGGAGAGCTCATGTGAGAATGATTTTAAATATGTTTACTCTATGTAAGGATTTTACGATAACTGATCTCGCTTTACCTTTTTGGTGCTGCAAAAGATATATATTAATGATGGCTCACGTTTTTATTATTTGATGCAAGTAATGAAAGGTTTATTTTTACTAAAGTTAACATACAATATTATATCTAAGTGGTACGCTGACACTAACATGAATAAAGAAGGAACATATCCGCGTAAGGTATAATATTGATAGTGAATATCCCTTGCAAGCTATGAAAACATAACACATAACACAATCTTAGACAAGGTTTAATTGATTTTACTCTTGACAGATAACTGAAAGAAAAACAACTCAAATAACGAGAGAAAAATCTGAAATTAAATCCAAATACAGCATATACCGAAGCAGTGAAAAGATTGTACCTGATTATTTGGAAAACTGTCCACAAATATTGGATAATATTTTTTAAATATTCTTACTTGTTTGAACTCTGTCGTCATCTTCGCAGTCTTCACTTTGCTTTTTTGGATCTAAACAAACTTGAATCGTTATTATTTCCTGAATACCCTCATTCTGTAATAAAAGGACATCTTTGGTACACATAATTACACTTATCTGATTATATTAAGAAATATTTAGTATATTCCGACTTTGGCAAATATGTTTTTATAATAAGGTATCTGTCTTTTAAACAAGTGATCGTGAGTTTGAATCTAACAAGGTTCACAACAGTTCATTAAAAATACCAGTAAGTTTAACAAAGTAGACTCGAGAGTCGTTCATATCAGCTACTTTACTCTTAATCGGTGTTGAAACAAATGATATTATTAACTGACTTTAAATTTAGTTTGCTTCACAAAAATGATCTTTTATCCTTTTTCCAAATTACCGTTATGACAGTTTGATTTGCTAATTCCCTATTGTAGTTTTTCTGATTGATTATGAAATTTATTTGCACAGACATTGACAACAGTTTTTTAGAGAAAAATATGTTCACTTGTTTCCAGCAAAGAAACGACTCCCATTGTTTATTCGATGCCAAAGTTCACTATGTAGGACTGACTATTCGAGCACCAGAAAAAATGTATTACTAGTACTTGATATCAAGACTGCTCTTAGCACCGGTAGTCTCTTTGCGTTGAGTAGCAAAATATAAATATAAAGTTTTTTGCGATAAGCAGGAGAAATTGCTTGCGGGAAACGTTTACCAAAATAGAGCAGGGGTAACAAATTGTAAAAGCATACAACAGAAATGATTTGACTAGTGCAGTTCATTATATATGCGTAGGAAAAAAGCTAACACAACAGTTTGTAGCTCCAGGTTGCGAACAATGAAAGTTTAAACAAGTTAATGGAATTATGATATGATCAAAGTAAATCTTGCTAATGACACATATTAATTGTCTCAATTTTTATTAGTCCCCTACCGGTTTACCGGAGGGGACTTTAGGTTTACCCTCCGTCCGTCTGTCCGTCCGTCCGTCTGTCCGTCCGTCAGTCCGTCCGTCCACAAAACTGGATCCCGCGATAACGCAAAAAGTACTGAAAATATTTTAATGAAACTTGATATATGGATAAATGGCAGTATGGAGATTATGCACGTCTTTTTCTTTTCTTCCTATGATGAAAATTCTGGTTGCTATGGCAACAAATAGACTAAAAATATGGCAAGTTTTACACATAACCTGGATCCCGCGATACCACAAAAAGTACTGAAAATATTTTTATGAAACTTGATACATGGATAGATGGTAGTATGGAGAGTATGCACATCTTTTTCTTTTTTTCCTATGCTGAAAATTCTGGTTGCTATGGCAACAAATAGACTGAAAATATGGCAAATTTTACACATAACCTGGATCCAGCGATAACGCAAAAAGTACTGAAAATATTTTTATAAAACTTGACATATGGGTAGATGGCAGTATGGAAATTATGCACATTCTTTTCTTATCTTCCTGTATTGAAAATTCTGGTTGCTATAGCAACAAATAGACTGAATATCAAGATTTCTGATTCTAGTTTTTAAGTTTTTTCACTATAAGTTCTTTATTTCTTAAGGTATTTACTTCAAACTTTAAATATAAGTTGCTAGTCATCAACCACATCATATGTGACAAAGTTTACAACTCTAGCACAAAATTTATCAGAATTACCTCCCTTGAACTTAAAATTTTCATGAAAAAAACATTGTTTTTTTTTAATAACTTTTTTTTTTCTGAACGTATCTACTTCATATAAATGTTTCTTATTATCACTCAACATGTGTGAGTGTTCAATACTCTAGCAAGACTATTTCCAGAATTATGCCCCTTTTGAATTTTTTTTTGAAAAATTGGTAATTTTTACTCCAACTTCTACAATCATGATAGGATTTTCTTCAAACTCCCACATCATAATAATATGACAAGGTTTATAAATCTAGCATCCATATTTCTAGAATTATCCCCTCCTTAAACTTTTAATTTTTCCTATTCGTTCTTTTAACCTTCATTTACTTCAAATTCAAAATAAACATTCAATATTCATACCTTCATTACTAATTGTTCTTTGTTACACTCACATCATGACTGTATGACATCGTTATCTCCTCTTTTTTTAAATTTTTGTTTTTAAAAATGTTATATTTTGATAACAGGGATGTTTAAAAAATAACTTTAGAGTGTCCTTCAGTCCGTCTCTCTGTCTGTACATAAAAAGTGTTCACTGTGATCACTTTTAAAGAACTTTTTCAACAAATTTACTTAAAATAGAAACATAGGTGAATGGCCCTTCAGAATATTGCTTTGGCTCTTACCGGTAGGGGACTTATGGATTGCTTGCAATACTATGACATGTATGATAATTGCTTGTTTCTCAATGGAACTCAGCTTCCTTTTTATGAATGGCATGTCCTCAAGGAATGAAATATAAATATCGACTCAAGTTGAATTAAAAGTTGAATTATGTTAGTACTATGTAACGCCTCAAGCATTGGAGATGAACTCTTGCTTTATACATTAATCGTTATCAGTTACAGATTCTTTAAATCAATAAATAAATAACGTTTTCGTACGACGGGTAGCTGCATGTCTTGCAAAAATTTCATATTTATTTTCTTAGCAATTTAGTACATGATGTTTAATTTTTGGTTATCACTCATGTTATATTCCAAAATATATGATAATGGAAAAGGCATTAAGACGAAATAAGGCGGTAAGAAAAAAGACATGGTTTCATCATTCAACAAATTGTTTTTCTGTACTGTATTATGTCATATGGTTCATGTATACATTGTATTTATTATTTCCTTATATACCAATTTTTACTGTACTTCAAATGAATGTATATAAAACTGCCAAACAGACATTGAGGTTGACCAAATACATGAATATGTTTTAAACATTAACGTTAAGGTGTCGTTATTTTTTAAACTGAAAAGTGCTTTGTGGAAGCTGTTTAAAGTGGTATTATATTTTCTGATGCTTCAGGGGAAAATAGAGAAAAAATATTTTTATTAAATACTGTTCAAGCTGAAGGCGGACCCAGGAAGTGCTAAAATGTTGCATTTGTCTTTTTTTTCAACCCGAGTCAATATCAACAAATAGGATACATTTTCATTACCTAACAAAACTTTAAAAATCAGCGTTCGATACGTATTCTTTTGATTCACAGCAAAGAGATATATTAAGTCTAGCAAGAATGATTCCTGTCATAATTATAATATTTCTGTTATTGATTTAGTTATGATAACGGTTGACCAAAGATGATCATTTAAAAAATAAACACATTTAAACAACATTGCTTAATAAGCATAATACAAGATTTACGTAAATGTTTCACACAAGGACTAATACTAAAATATAATAGAATGTTTAAATAAGACATACTACAACATATAGATCCTTCTCAATTATGTCAACATCTGGTATTCCCATGTCAGTGACGATGGCTGTAATTTTCACCGAAAATTTTCCCGCCTTAAGTGGTATCATTGGAAATCGGACAGTAGTTGCACTGTTTGGACTGACTTCAATCTCTTTCCTTGGCGAGGGCTTACCTGGTGCTGTTCCGTAGCACAAACCTTCCACTGCTTCCAAGTACATGTTTGCCTTGATTACATATAGAAGGTAAAACAAGTTTCATTGAAATTCAATAATGCTAGTTGAGAAGCGAATCATGTTATAGATAAGGTTATTTTCTTCGCATGTACTATGAATATATAGTTATCACTTTAGCAAATCAATTTACACAATCATTCATGCTGAAATGACTTCATATTCAATATTATTGATAAGATTATATGTATTATCTTGTTAATGTTATGAGTTGTTGTTCTTTGAATTGTCTCTGGTGCCAAATGTTGTCAAGAACTGTCCAATTATTGGCTTATATATGTGGAAGCCAGTTTCATCTAGTTCGAATGTTAGTCAATATTTTGATTTTTTAATGTTCAATTTTAAACGTCCTTTTCATCTGTAAGTAGAGAGATTGGTATAGTTAAGAGATTAGTCATATGATTTCATGATAAACTTTGGAAACAAATAATATGTGAACATTGAGTTTTTACTTGGATTGTTAAAATAAAATTAAAGTCCAGTATAGGAAGGATTTTATTATTCAGATAACCTGTAAGCAACATGTTTAAATTTTCGAATGTGCTTCACTAAACAGTTATACTAGAATGTATGTCTCACACTTGGTTATTTCCTTCTATTTATTTGCAAAAGGTACCAAGATTGTTCTAATTTTTGTCTTACGGAATAATTGATTCTTGCACATGTTGTATTATGGATTGAATACCGCATAGGTTATTTTTACATTATCCCACATATCTGTAATTTTAATATGATGTCACTTTGTAGTTTTTTGTCTGGCATGCGAGTTAAATCACAGACCAAATATAACCTAGTTTTGGGGAATAGCTTCATTGCATTAAATAACTCAAAGTCACTGGCGTGACTGAAACCAACAATGATGAGAAAAAGTACACCCATGGCAGCAGTTAAACCAGCGCATATCAATAAACTACATATACTCACATGTTTGAGTTTATCAGTTGCCAATCCGTAGTTGAAAAGTGTGGCCTTTACGTCGAATAATTCAAATCTGGTTGCTTTGTATGGAAGGTCTAGTTGTATGAAGAACTTTCTAAACACAGTGACATCTACTGGATCAGCAATGCACAGCCCCATGTTCTCAGTGATTCCTAAGAGAAAACAGCGTTGCTGTTCTAACATTTTAACACTTACTCTGCTTGATTTATGTTATGGATTTGCCTTGCATTTTATTTTGAAAAGTCCAAGTTCATAGGATTAAGGAATAAAAATACAAAAAGAGCTACGAATAGTTAAGGGCCGATAAATTTCACTGACTGCAGACAAAGGGTATTTTTTGCCCCTGCACGGCAAGGGTTAATGTAATAAATAATCATATAGAACATTACTTAGCAATATGCTATCATTTAAACATATTTGTAAAGTGGAGAGAAATAACTGATTTTCATTTTCAGTGTGGCAATACCACGTGACACATACGTCATTTTCGGCATCATTTCCAAGACAAATGTTGCTCGATTCGGAAAAGAAAATAGCCGTAAATATTTTATTTCTGTACCAATTTCTTTGGGATATACACCAGTCTACGGGGAAAAATATAAGCTTTCCATAGAATATTGGATCTTCGTCAGTTTATAAGCCGTTTTATCAAACACTTTGCATAACCTTGGAAGTTGCTTGTATTAGAGCGGGCTTCAGTTGCAAGCTATTTCGTTTTCTGGCGTTATCTGGTCTACGCCATGATTAAAAAGTCAGGTTTACATCAACCGGGAGTACGGAAGGCAAAACTTTACCTAAATATGTTAATATTTTTATTATGAATGACATAAATCTTACATTTTCTTCAATTGTCAATTCTGGCACCAGTTCCAAGTCGAAAAAAAGGACTACAGTTTAAAGCAGATTTTAGAATCCGTTGCAAATGCAAAGCAACATGCCTACCGTTCTCTTTCTATAATTATGTTAACCATGAAAAACATTTTATTTACTATACGATTTACATAAACACAAATGAATATTTTAATGATTTTTACTCGCTGCGCTATAAGTGATTTTAAAAGTCGTATTGTTGTCTGTATTTATAAAGAAATTGATTTGCTCTTTAATCATTGTTCTTTCTCGGTAATGATTATGAAAAATCTATTCGCTCATGTAGCAATACTAAACGTGAAATAGAAAACAGAAACCCTGAATATCGCCCAAAACGGCAAAATTGAAAATGTTTCAGGCTCGGGTTGACTTAGCTAGCCTATCGAATGAGCGTGCACATTCAGGATCACTTCGATTTGTATGCTGTGAAAAGGGTTACGCCTCAACGTGGCAATTTTTAAAGTCAAAGGTTATTCTTTTGTTAAGAGCTATATATATATATATATATATATATATATATATATATATATATATATATATATATATATATATATATATATATATATATATATATATATATATATATATATAATGTTTTAGTATGATAGATTCAGCTTTAACACAGTGGCATTCGTTGATAAAAAAACATCCTGTTTTCAAACCCACGGTTACCCTTTATTCGTGAACTGGATATAACTTCGTTAACTTAAGAACACTATTAAACACTATCTATTTTATAATTGCATTTATTTCTGTTGATAAACTGCATATCTGACAAATTTAGTTAATTATATCATTCAACTCAGCTTTATCAGAGAGCTCACCAATATACATTGTAAAGAGAGGAAGGGAACGGAATATTTATGGTTTGAAAACATTTAAATCGAGTAGAACTTTTTAACAATAATGTCTCTTTCAACTGAATAAAAACGATAGGGCAATTTGGGAATATTTCTTATCGATGTGGTCATTGGCTGTTAATGCATGGATTATTGCACGCGGCATGACCTGCAGATGGCCTCAACAGGCTTTTTGTAGCGTTTTAAGATTTAAAAAAGGACCACACATTAAAATCTAAAACATGATAAACATGACGAATATACTAAATAAGTGAATTATCTGATATGTAAATAAAGAAGTAAGTCATTTGACAATTGAAGGATAAAAATTGAATATACTCTTCAAATGTAATCGTAATTTTACTAAGCTTATGTTAGCTATTAATTATTCAATGGACGCATCAGTGGCATATGGGCCCAATTCATAGATATTGCCGGTGTTGCTATTACAGATGTTAATGTAAATATTTATATAATTCTTGATAATCATTGTCATTTCAGTCTTTTTGAATGTTTTGTTTCAAGAAATTTGACTGTGATCGATGCCTGTTGGTTTGTAAAATCATTTTTCTGTTTACTATTTTCTACTTTGTTTACTCCACATGGCGTTCATTCTCGTTCATATTCATGGCTATTTTGGGTCTTTTTTTATAAATAGAGAATCACAAGTAATGCAACTAAGTAACAATACTATCAGATTTACAAGGCAAAGTTCCAAGTTTAAATTGTGATTTCGTTTATCAAACTCTATAGAAATTTATTATACAACAATTCCAGAAAAATATATTCCTTTTAAATGTCTCTCTTTTGAGGACAGAAGAACATATTCGTCACATTCACGAGTGTCAGTGTTTGTCAGTTACTCTTTTCAAAAATAAACTGAAAAAATACCTTTAGCTTTACAACACTCGCGTTAAAGTGTAACCCTTTCCATAGTATACAAAAGTGTTTTTTTTATTTTAACTCTTTCTCTCATTGAGAGCACATATATTTCTTATCAATTTCGCCATTATTGTGAAATAGAATAAAACACATTTTACTACAAAGGATAAAATGAGCAATAATTTAAACATCTTCAAAACGAAATCAAAATATTAATTTCCGACAAGACTAAATCTACGTGATTTGACGTGCACTATTGCGATACAAGTAAGTGTTATTGCTTTAAGGAACAATCAGTTTTTTCACAATCTCTCTGTGAAAGATCAACAATGAAAAACTAAATTGTAGAAAGAGAACGGTAGGCATGTTGCTTTGCATTTGCAACGGATTCTAAAATCTGCTTTAAACTGTAGTCCTTTTTTTCCGACTTGGAACTGGTGCCAGAATTGAAAATTGAAGAAAAATTTAAGATTTATGTCATTCATAATAAAAATATGAACATATTAAGGTAGAGTTCCGCCTTCAGTACTCCCGGTTGATGTAAACCTGACTTTTTAATCATGACGTAGACCAGATAACGCCAGAAAACGAAATAGCTTGCAATAGACTGGTGCATATCCCAAAGAAATTGGTACAGAAATAAAAAAATTACGGCTATTTTCTTTTCCGAATCGAGCAAGATTTGTCTTGGAAATGATGCCGAAAATGACGTCAATGTCACGTGGAATTGCCACAGTGATTTTTTATTAAATATATAAATTTAAGTTTTCTGTTAAAAATCCGGTCAAAGAACCTAATAGAATGTTGTGGATATTTTAGGTGACTTATTTCATAGACAATGGCAAATTGTTTTTTCTATTTTTTTATTGTGATATGTTTTGAAACAATTATAACTTTTCCTTTTGATGATATTTCATTGACATTTCTTTCATAAATACTAAAAGAAGGAAAAAATGGCATTCGATAGCACAAATGACAAAAGCTGATATACACGGAATAACCCCCAATTTATTGAAGAATTGCATATTTGATGACCCTCTTAAGTTACTCTTTACTCCTTTATTTTTAAATTCATATTTTACAGAGGCATTTAAATGCTAATTTACGATATATATATCTTTATAATTGTTTTTAACAAAAGCATTTCAAACACATTTTTTGCGTATGCAAAACAGATTACATGTTGCTGTCTACATTTTCCTCGTACTGTTGCTACTTTAAATGGGTATCTGCTTTTCAGGAACATAAGATGTGAGCAGTATAGGGTCTACGATAAAAGATAAATTTATTGCATTAATGCAATTAATGCTAAGATGTGACGTAATTATCCGTTATCTTATACATTACAAAGATATGCCAGGGTAGAAGAAAGTAACCCGTCAATCTCTTTGTCAAGAAAAGCAGGATTCCAAGCAACCAATACCAAGTTCATACATGTAGTTTCATATCACCTTCGCCAATCTCATCTTGAAACTTGCTAGAAAAAGACTCAACACCATCGCAAAATAAGCAGTTAAGACTCGCTCCGCCACTTGAAACGTCCTTGTAATATTTCAATAAGTTTATCATATTAGATATCATCCTTAAAAAATTATTTTAAGATATAAATATTGACGTATTGTACAACACATCGACAAAGTAAATATTCGTGTTTATGGGTTACACTTTACAAGCTGTGTATCGACACCTTACAGACAACTCAATATTAGCAAATCAGTGTTATTTTTTTGCGATATTTTGCCATTTCACTGAAAATTGAATTTAAATACGAAATAACACCCACGGGAAGTTTTTAGATATGACGTTTTCCATTCGTCTGTCTGTCCGTCTGTACGCAGACAATTATTAGTATTAGCAGCACAATTTTTGAGGGATGTCAATGATTCTGTTTGTTATCGCCGATCCAAGACGGCAACATGTACAATAAACAAGATTTGACTATTTCTACCCGTAAACCGCCTATCTTATGTCAGTCAATCAAACGGAGACTTTGATACTACATGACAAAAAAATGGACGACTAAAGTCCTCAAAGAGGGCGCCTACGGTGCATGCCATCACCAAAGTTTTTGTCGGAATACCAATGTCATAGAATTGAAAGAACGTTCGTGAATGCAGCTAGAAACCAGTGTGTAGGCTCCAACGTGGTAAACAATATATGAAATCAATCAATGGAAGTATGTAATATTATAATACCAGGCAAGTCTGAGTTTCCCTGAAATCAGCAAATTGCATTTTCAATACTTTTCAAAGCCGTTTTGCAAACACGTTTGTTTTGTATACAAAAGAAAAAAAATTATGTACGGTATTCTCCTAGAAAATCTTATCTTAGGGATGTTTTAAAATCTGTTTAAGGATAATATCTCATAATGTAAATCTATTGGTGAACAAATAGAGAAGTGTTCTATAAATGAGCCGCGTCACGACAAAACCAACATAATGGATTTGCGACCAGCATGGATCCAGACCAGCCTGCGCATCCGCGCATGCTGATCAGGATACATGCTGTTCGCTTACAAACTCTATTACAAATAGAGAAACTGATAGCGAACAGTATGGATCCTGATCAGAATGCGCGGACGTGCAGGCTGGTCTGGATCCATGCTGGTCGCAACCCCATTATTTTGGTTTTGTCATGACTTGGCTCAAATTGTATCTACCGTATACTTAAAATCGTTTGGAATATCGAAAAAGGAAACTAGACAATCCAAGCAATGAATGTTTGGAATGAAATGGCATACCAATAGCTTGTATCCTCCACTCTGTAATGGAGTCAGGGTAACCATACTCTTTACTTGTCTGTCCATTCCTGAAAGAGTAATAAAGAAGGCATACATGTAAGCAAAAGATAAAATCATTTCATTCTTACATCTGTAGTAGGGCTGGTTGTTTCCCTTTATTTGTATATTAATAAATGATCTGGTTATAACTTTGTTATTCCTCCTATTTAGTAGTAAAAGAAAATATAATTTGCTATATTTTGAATTACAATTTACTGTCAACATATTAAGCATATTATTAGATATGGAATGTGTCATAGCTGTACATGTATAGCATAGTTTGTTTAAAGTAAGTACAGGTCGCGTTCACATTCCAGCCTGTTTGGACAGGTCGGTCGGTAATGTAATTGTTTCGGTCGTCAGAGCAAATAAAAACACCACAATATATCAGGAGTTATTGTCACCCGAATATATTTCGGGCCCGGTGCAATGATAACAAAAAATACAACACGTTAAGATAGTAAAAAAGTAATGATAAATCACTATAAAATAATATTTAATAATATTAGTACTCACGTATCTAACTGCACTTCTTCAAACAAAAATGACTCCCTAAAATCAGTCCGTTTATGGGGTCTGACTCCTTTTTCGGCTAGGTACTTTAAATCGTTTGCATAATAACTAACGTCTTCTAATGACCTTGACGAAAGTTGAGTAATTTCTGAAAAGTAAAAAAGTTGTTACCAATATATTATTTTCATTTACCAAATGTTTTTGCAAGATGGAATATATGAAAATAAGAATAATAATGCATTGTATTGGTAAATTATTTTCCTTTAACAAACAAACAAACACTTTGTTGGTTATAGCAAGTTATATGAACTCGAAAATGCATTGTTTTACACATATGTGATGGAAACTGTCCCGGACACAGTACAGCAATTAAAATACAAAGGTAATAAGACATATGCAAAACATTTATTTTCATCTCCTCATCTCCGGTTTCTAAATCTACATTTTCAACATAGTAAGTAGCGTAAGTAAGAATTTAAAAGAAAAAGTGACGAATATGTTCTATTTTTCTGGGTAATTTTATAAAGTGTTAATACAACACAGACCAGAGCTTTCACAAGAAAGTCATATTAGACGCGTGCGGAGGTAGTTTTGTTCCGTCAGTCTATTTTCGACCCACAGAAGGGTTGAACAAGAAATGCCAAAGTGTTATTTTAAGGGATTATAATATTTATGTGGCATTGTAAACAAGTTTCTTGATTTGCCCAAACCATTGGTAAACAAATTAATAAGATTTAAAGAGTAATTGAAAGGAAATAAAAAGAAATGTTTTTACGCAAAAAAGAACAAACTTATTTACTTGAAATCAAAGTCTCCATCTCGTCTGTACAAGAATGTAAGATAGACAGGATACATTTGATAGCATAGTTGTTAGTTTCAAATGCTTTCTTTGCAGCAGAGTAGCACAACGTGTAAGAATCTAATTTTGCTCTTTCATCTTTTTCAGTGTCGTTAAAAACTTTCTCAGCATACCATGTACCATATACACAACACCTTTCATTTGCACCATTGCAGTCTGTAGTAAAAAAGTTTCAGCAATTTTGCCCATTGTTACTTTTGTGTGTTTGTTTGTATGTATGTGCGTGAGTGCGCGTGTGTCTGTGGGAGTTGTTATGTGGGCATTAAACCCATGTTCAGCTTCAACGCATATCCAAATCTATCAAAATGGTTGTACAATTTCTTCAATAGAGCCAATATTTTCTGGTTGCCCCAATATATGAAAAAACTCAATGACATTGGCTCATATCTATAATGCACTAAGTCTTAAACGATAACAATTACCATAACAAAGTTGTTAATCGATTATCTTATATAATTATGCAGATATTAAAAGTCGACAGATTCTTCAAATAAAGAAATCATTCTTATTCAGAAACAGCTTTCAGATGTTTCTATGACGTAATTTTGACATCCGTTGCGGTACGTTTCATGACGTCATTTATATGACGTGATTGTGAATTACCGAAATGAAATGAAACGCAAATCTACCAAAGAAAAGATATATAAAAACACCATTTTTGTTTTTTCTATACCTGAGTTATGTAATAATTTACATACACCTGCAATAAGTTAAAATATGTATGTTTTACTACAACAGCTGATAAAATTCTTTTTTACATAAACTAGTTTTAAATAAAGGATTACTTTCAGCTGCACGTTTTTTCCGAGAGTTTTCTTCACAGCCTTCTTCTGAACGGTACATATCCGGGTCGATAATGGCGTTCGTCAATATGGAAAGACCTGCATTCTATAAACACGGTTTTAAGGTAAATCAGCGTGATTGATAAGTCTTAATGCATCAACAGACGGTAGGATTTGGCACACAACATCAATTAAAACTTAGATGTACAAGCAAATTTTAATGTGTGAAGGCAACTTTTTCTTGAATCCATACACCTTATTACCGGATTTTCAGGATAGGACATGTTCTATCTCCTAATTATTGTTGAGATGTATAGAACTCCCCGATGGCAAGTGACATATTTACCGATTATCCCCTGACAATGAGTGAAATTTCGGAACTATTAGGGCTACAATGTAAATACATTGTCTAGCAAAATGGGGTGAAAAAATGTTAAAAACTCTTGGGGGCGCAAAGTTGTGGCATGTTCAATCCCAAATTATTCAGAAAATGATTATGTCACGGTATTGAATGGTCACTAATTAGGGAAGATATTGCTTAGGCGACCGGATAGCTGCGTTACGGTATTCTTAGGGTCTCGGATCCAAGTCTCTGTCAGGCCGCAAAATATTCTCACCCTGTGAGAAGTATATGCATTTTATTTTTGAATTGAGGAGTTTCCGTCATTCGTTATGATAAAAAAATAATTTTATACCGTGAGTCATATGATATAGGGTGCTCAGCTATTTCATTCATTCCAGATCAAGGTAATTTCCTGAAGCTCCCTTATATAGATAGTTTTATTCTGGTAAAAAATACATGTCATAAAACAACTACAAATTCAATGTCAACATCAAGAGATACATGTAAACATGAAAGTGCATGTGTTGATGCCATATATTCAATACCAAGGATGACACAAAAAGAAGGCATAAGCCGACTTATTTCCATTGTGGTCCTTAGAATTGATCATATGACACCAGAAAGGCAAAATATTTACTAATTTTTAAGTATTGCACATAAATTATTCAATCACAATTTCTTATATCAGTTATTGCACATAAGTATTTCCATCACAAAATTTATCACACATGTATTATAATCATAATTATTATGACAGATATGTTTGACAATGAATAGGTACTACTAAAATATGCACTAAACATAAAAAAATATATTAATAAAAACTAGGTAAGATGACTAGATTAAAATGACTAAACAGATATTGATTGCATAAAATGTTCCTTAAGAGATTTTTTAAAATTATCACGACTTGCTATGAACCTAAGATGTGTTGGTAACCTATTCCATTCCTGACAACCATTAAATACAAATGTTTTCTTACCGAAACCCTTAACTCTTGGAATAGAATAACTGTTACTATCTCTAAATCGAGTGGAGTAAGAATGTACCTCATTTGCAATTTGAAAATGCTCATTTAAATAACTAGGTGCACTATTGTTATGTATCTTATGTACATGACCAAGAATAAGGAAATTTACCCTCAGATGTACTGGTAACCAACCAACTTCCTCAAAATGAGCCCTCCCTATATGAGTACGGGGACTGAGATTAAGTATAAATCTCACCAACTTATTCTGTGTGGCCTGAAGTCTATTTTTTAGATTTTGACTCAATCCTAAATACCAGGAGGCACACGCATAATCAAAATGACATTGTATTAATGAAGAAACTAAAAGTTGTTTAGTATACCTATTTAAAAATGAACTTTTTCTATATAAAAACTTAAGTTTTGCATTGGCCTTCTTAATTACCTGGTTGGCTATAGACTCACCAGATAGACATTGATCTAGGTCAGCACCTAAGTATTTAACAGATTTGGTGGATGTTATTGTAGTACCATTACATACAATATTTAGTTGATCACATGACCTAAGTCTTGGTTTAGACGCAAATAAAATAGACTCTGTCTTTCCAAGATGTAAGGAAAGTTTATTATCAGTGAGCCACTTACTCACACTGCTGAGATCATCAGTAAGCTGAGAGGTAATATACTGGATATCTTTACCTGATACTAAAATACCTGAGTCATCAGCATATAGAAGCAATTTATTACGAACCACAGCCTCCATATCATTAACATAAATCAAGAATAGGAGAGGGCCAAGGATCGAACCTTGGGGTACCCCACAAGTTACATTGGCGCTAGATGAAAGTACACCGGAGACATTGACCATTTGTGTACGGCTAGATAAGTAAGACCTAAACCAGTGAATAACATCACTAGAAAACCCCATAGCATCAAGTTTCATGAGTAAAATATCATGATCGACAGTGTCGAACGCCCCTTCATGCTATCCACAGCCTGCCTCTTAACCAATATTCTTAATTGGTCAATAGTTATTACATTTACATATATTCTAGTAATAATAGTGAGTATCGTCTGTAATGGATCCATTTGGAGATAATTATTTAGGAAGGAAACCTTGAGATTGATTCAATTGAAAATTACGGTCTGAATGCAAGTGTTGCATTGCTTTGAAACTTGTACATCTTATCTTTAACTAGTGTTGTACAGCTAAATCCTACCGTCTGTTGAGGCCTCAAGACTTTTCCGTTTACTTTTTTGACTAGCATAATCTTCTCAACGGAATAAACTTGATAAAGAAATTGAAATACAATCTAAACGAAACCAATGATGGACACTAAGTCATACCATCGTTAAAGACATGCCATCACCTTAGCGACAAAAATAAAACTATGTAGCCCAGCTACTTTACATCAACATAACAAGCACGCTTTTATAACTGACGCCTCTGCACAGCTTTCTCTACACCTTTAGTTAAATCAATACTAACCTTAAAAACGTCTCCATTATTTTTACCACTACCTTCACCACATCCAAGATCATGTGACCTCAGGGCATCGAACATCTAAAGAACGGTATATAAATATATAAGCATATTGCATACTTCTAATGGAGAACTTTAAATCTTGAAAGATATTTGTTCTAAATACAATCATCATTTTGTAGCAGCAAAATATGTTCAAGCAAGGTAATGCAAAACAACGTCACGCTATGTGTACAGAATGTGCTTATCAGTGACTGTAGACACTGCTACGGATAGCAATATTTTGACCAGAAAATGGATTGATGAGCGATTGAAATATATGTAATAATATCTTTTTTTAAAACGCGTCTTAATGATGTTTTAAGTATCTGTGTGTAGTAACAAAAATGATCATTTATACGAAATTGAGTACTTATTTTATTTTTTTATTATTTTTGCTTAATAGAATGGCATCACTCTTTATTGTTATGACCATTGTTGTTCTTCGGAATAGGTAAAAAGGCAGGACAAGAAAAGACAAAAAAAAAAGAATCATAATCAATCTTGTCAGTAACAAAAATTCAAAAATGTTTACATATTCAATCAGTTATGGACAGAAAAAATGCCAAAAAAAAATGAACACACAGTTATATAACTTGACAAACATGGCTATTTGTAATTGTGAAAAATCTAAGTTGGCAAATCAACGCTATGACTTCTGATGAAGTTGAAAAAAAATCAACTTTATTAAATATAGATAAATGCAAGACACCCCAAACTCCATCCAAACTTAAAAGAACCACCTTAGGTATGTTCCTTGTATATATGAGACATTGTATAAAAAGTGTAGTAAAAATCTATTGTAAGCACAAGTGACATTGACCGTGGGACTCTCAACACTGGACCAACAAAAGCATATGAAAAACATCAGTCCAAAATTATCGACTGTATAAGCCAATGTGTAAAAATCTATTTTTAAACGCTTGATATTGACCCACTGACCCCTTACTCAAATCAAAGAAACAAGATTAAGCAAAGTATCTTCCTACCAGATATGAAAGACATATGTCTATAAATTAAGGCTGTATGGTCAATTTTTTAGCACTGATAACCTAGATCAATCTGACCCCTAACTCAATCCAGAGGAAATATGAAAAAACATCTGTCAAAAGATAAAGGCTGTTTAAGGCTGTTTAAGTCAATGAGTAAATATCTTTCATCGGCACCATTGACCTTACCCACTGAACCTTTACTCAATCAAAAAGAAGAATACCAAGTTATCTTCGTGTCAATAATGAACGCCATATGTGGGCAAAAGTGTAAAAACTATTTTAATCACTGGCGACCTTGATCCATCTGATTCCTAACTTAATCCAAAGGAAGAAAACCACGGATGTTATTATCCTACTAAATGTAAAAATAACCAAAGACTGTTAAAGCAAACGCGTAGAAATATATTATTGGAACCCTTGATTGTTTGTTTGGATTCTTACGGCACGTCAGCACATAACTGGCCATATCGTGCCGAATGCTATAATAGGCTTAAAATGTTCGTAAAACTTTGTAAATGACAATAAAAATGAGCCAATTAGATCCTAGAAGTTTATCTCTTTCAAATAATCAATGATGTTTTTGATGGAATTGTATAAAAGAGTTCTTTAAATGAATTTACACAATAAAATCTATTACGGGCCTGTAAAAAATCATGACATTCAAGAAAAAAATGCCTGACAGTAAAATCCTTATTACAAGCCAAATAAATAGAAGGGGCATTGTCATTCGTGAGGAATTAGAGTGGGTAATTTTTGTGTGTCTAATTCGGCATCGAAGAAGAACTGTTTGATCCCGGCGGTTTGACAGAGATGGTGACACATCAAGAGATGGGTCTATATCGTGAAGTTTATTAAAAACGACATTGTCCCAATTTGCTTTCCATACAGATGATACGAGTTTATTTATAGCCGGTCTAAAATCACAAGCAGGTATCAATAAGTCAGTTTTTTGAAAATTAAATGATTGTTTAGCGAAAGCATCTACTCTTTCATTTCCTCGTATACCTCTGAAAATTCCTCTGAAAACCGGACAGCAATTTTATGTGTCAACTGTTTGTGTATTTTGATAATAGATATAGATTAAAACATAATCTCAACTGATGACATGTTAAATTACCAATTAATGATCACCTCCTTTTATCTATGCAGGTGTGAAAACACTTGTCAGTGTGTGTTAATTTCTTATCGGCAATTAATTGAAAGTTCTTTCCTTATAATTGTGTCTTTCTCTGCATAGGTATGATTTTTCAAAATGTTTTAAATTTGTTGTGTGTGTGTGTTTTTTAATATAAATAGTCTAAAAGAATTGGGGAACTTTTGTTAAATGATTTATAATTTTCTTTGAATTTTGACCTTGAAGTTATCTTTGTATTAATTATGTGCAAAAATAATAATACTAAATTTCATTAATTGCATATTTCAATAGCCAATCAAAACGATATATTTTAGATAGTATGTTGTTTTAATTTCTGATTTTCAGAATTATATTCATGGATTTGCATAAAAAATTACTTCTTACAAAAAGAAATAAAAACGTGACTTAAACAATAGTGTTCAAAAGTATACAAAATGATTGAACAAAGTCATTGTTTAAACACATTATAATTATCAATAACTGTATAAACCTCTGAAAACCGGAATCCTCTGAAAAAAAGGACTTTTGGTCAAGTCCGGACAGGGTCCGGTTTTCAGAGTTTACTGTACTAGGTGTAAAATTATTTTCAAACACTGCCGCACCTACTTTGCAACTTTCTTTTGAACCATCCGTAAAAATTTGTATAAAATCTTCATGTTCCTCCTTAATGACTAGAAACTTCAATTTGCAATGTTCAGGTGAAAGTGATGACATTTTTGTATTTGAAAGGTAAATATTTATTTTCGGGGAATTATAAGTCCAAGGTCGAACATCCTCATCGTCATTTTGAAGGATACTGTCTGGATTAATTTTAAGTTTATCTAAATCATCATTTAAATGAAGGACTAATGGTTTAATTTCCTTTGGTTTGTTAACAAATTTTTCAGTATAACTTGGTTTGAAAAATATCTTTAGCTTGATTTTTGCTATTAGATGAAATTCTAGTCGCATATTGAAGTGATATTTTTTTCGATGAAGATGAAGCGATGGTTCCCCAGCTACCGCATATAGACTTTCTATAGGTGAGGTGCGAACAGCACCTAAAGCTAAACGTTAACCCTAGTGATATATGGTATCTAGCATTTGAAGATATGATTTTCTTGCAGACCCATATACTACAGAATCTTATTTTGATCGGATAAGACTTCTGTATAATTCAGTTATGTGGAAGAATTTGATCCCCAGTTTGTACTTGATAAAACCTTTAGTAAATCTAAAGGTTTTAGGCATTTAGTTTTCAAATGTTTAATACTAGTATGTGGTATAAAAGAAAGTTTTTTTTATCAAATATAATTTCTAAAAACTTAGCTTCATCAACTTCTGGAATTTTAGAACCAGATATGTAAAGTTCAGGGTCATTGTGGTGTTTCCGCAATCGACAATAATGAACACATTGAGTTTTTGACTTTGACAATTTAAAAACATTTTCTATTGCCCACTTTTGAATTTTATCTAAATTTTGTTGAAGTTGCTTTTTTATTGTTCTCATACTTTTCGATCGATAACATATAAGAAAATCGTCTACATATAGAGAACAATCTATGCTTGGTGTAAGAGCGCTAGCAATTTTGTTTATTTTAAGGCCAAAAGTGTAACAGAAAGTATGCTTTCTTGAGGAATACCTTGTTCTTGTTGGTGGTCCTCGGAAAAAGTTGAATCAAGTCTTACTTTGAAGTGCCTATCGTTTAGAAATCCAAAAATGAAAAGAGGAAGTCTACCTTTAAGTCCAGCATCCTTTAGATCTTTTAGGATACCATATTTCCAATTAGTACCGTAAGCCTTCTCAAGATCAAAGAAAATTGATACCAGGTGCTGTTTATTTACAATGTTTTCTCTAATAAAAGTTTCAAGTCGTACAAGATGATCGTTTGTACTTCGCTGTTTACGAAAACCTGACTGAAAATAAGTGATAATTCCATTATTTTCTAGATTCCAAATTAACCGATTATTTATCATTCTCTCGATTGTTTTGCAGAGGCAACTTGTTATTATTCATTATCCCTCATGTACAGACTCAATCAAACCGAGTCTGCAATTCTTATGTTATTTTGTTGTGATTAATGCTTCCGAGGGATCACTTTGTTTCCAGAATTTTGTTAGTGAAATTAGACGATAATTTGTAGGGTCAGTTGAATCTTTTCCAGGTTTAGGCATAGGAATAACCAACGCATTTTTCCAAGTGTTGAAAAATTTAGCAGATAACCAAATTATTTTAAAAATTTCAAGAAGCAAGTCAAGAGATTGGGTGGTAAATGTTGAAGAAACTGGTTGTAAATTTCGTTCGGGCCTGCAGCACTATCTTTTGCAGTTTTGATTGAATAAATTAAGTCATCAATAGAGAAAAGGGAATTATAGTCTTCATCGTTTGTTGAAGTAAAATTAATATGCTCTTTCTCGATCAGCTTTACATATATGTTGTTGAAATTCATTTGAATAATTGTTTGAAGAAGAGTTCTTTTCAAAACGTTTTAGCCAAAGTTTCTGCAATATCCGTTTTTGTTTTGGCATATTAGCCATCACCAGCTTTTAAGTGAACAGTTTGACTCTTTTTATATTTACCACTTATTTTTCATACTGCATCCCAGACTTTCCTAATAGGAGTATGTGAATTATTATTTGAAACATATGATTGCCATGATTGGTGTTTAGATTGACGAATTGATCTTCAATATTCTATAATTTTCATTTTTTTTCTGTTGTAGGGCGATGTTCAAATTTTTTAAGTGAAGCTTTACGTATACGAACGACTTTTTTACATTCATCGTTAAACCACGTTTTTTTATTTTGTTACTTTTATTATTTTTTGGTAATGGAATAACTTTGCAGGCAATCGTATGTAATGCTGAAGAGAACGTTTCGACTATATCAGCAAAAGTGACATTAAATTCATTTTTGGTAGATCAAAAGAACAGAGCCTAGTAAATGTTTCCCAATTTGCTTTCTTAAATTTAAAAATTTGACGTCTTTATCTCGTATAGAGTCATTTCATGTTAGCAACCATGGATAATGATCACTGCCGTACTGGTCGTCTAAAACTTTCCAATCGAAGACCAAGTATATAGCAGAGTGGACAATCGAGAGGTAGATGCAAGAAAACGTACATTTAGCTGGATGTAAATATGTAGGTGACTGATTGTTTTATAAACAAAGCTGAAAGTTATCTATCAAATTTTCAGTCGTATAACCCTTGTTATTTGTAAATATACTGCCCCACATATAATTATGAGCATAAAAGTCGCCTAAGAAAAAGAAAGGTGATGCTAATTGTCGAACAATACTCTCAAGTTCATCACTTGTTACCGTTACATTTGGAGGAAGGTATAGAGAACAAATTGTTAGAGGTCGATGTAAAGTCACCTGCACAGTTATAGCTTGGTAGAGAGATAACTTATTTAAAATTCTTCCTTTGTGATTGAGTTAGGGATATGTGGGTCAAGGGTGCCAATATTATATTTCTACACATTTGCTAAAGCTTTTGTAAAGTTTTAGTTATTTTTGAGGAACGCAATTTGCGATAGTAATGCTTGTACCACCTGATGTTCTAGCGTTACTAGTGCATATATAGTTATAAAGTGTATAATCTTTTATAGAGGTATTATCTTTAGGAGATAACATAGTCTCCTAAAGACATTACATATGGAGAGAATTTTGATAAAAGTAGAAGTAGATTTTTATAATTTGATTTTAGACCACGGCAATTCCATTGTAGGATAGAATGATTTCTATAATCCAATTTAAAAATGTATTTATAGTTTAGTAGGAAACTTAATTGGACTTCTGGCATTCGGAGTAAGAGAAGGGAAGGGGTTTTAATCCTCATCCTCCATCAATACGGTGTCGTGTTGTACCCTTGACCTTGACCAACTGACCCCTAACTCAATCAAGAAGGAAAATTGTCTTGTAAATTTATCTATTTACCAAATTGGAAATACATGTGACAATAATTTATGGCTGTATAGGTCAAAGTGTAAAAATCTATTCCAAAGGAAGAAGACCAAGGAAGTTATCATCCTACCAAATATAATAAATATCAGTCAAAAAAGAAAGGCTGCTTTAGCAAATGTGTAGAAATATAATATTGGCACCCTTGACCCACTGACCCCTAACTCAATCAAAAAGGAAGAATTTTAAATAAGTTATCTCTCTACCAAATAGGAAATGCATCTGTCAATAAATAAAGTCTGTATTGGCCAAAGTGTAAAAATCTATTTTAGCACTGGTGACTTTGACCTAATTACTCTATCCAAAGGAAAAATACCATGCAAATTATTCGCTTACGGAATTTCAAATACATTTGTCAATAAATAAAAATTCCATGGGCAAAATTCTAAAAATCTATTTCACACTTGTGATCTTGTCCAGATCATTTTCTTTGTATTGATTAGTAAGTGTGTAAGTTATGAAGCCATTGGTTCAGGTAGAACTTCACAAAAAATTCAACTTGCCGATTTATGATGAGGGACAAATGGACAGACGGACGGATGGTTCATTTACTATATGCCCGGGTGGCAAAAAAAAGAATAGTATAATTGCCAAACTGTCTAATTGCGCTTTCTAACCTAAGAATTTTTAATAAGTTAAGTTTATGTTTGATCAATTTAGCTTTCAATAAACAAAGACATGCATGAATTATGACATGACAGTTTTATTCATATACATACAATATTTGTTATAACATGTGTAAGCGAATAAAGTATACAAACATTGTAGGTTATCATTAAAATAACTCTAGAAAATAAAAACATTTAATTGCAAACATATATGATGCTCATAAAAATTACCAGTGTATAGCAGTAATCTTCATACATTGCAGTGAATGACTTTGGCGCATATTGAATGTGAACATGAATATATATTTATATCTTGTTCGTGTATCGGAACAAAACACAAGAATATCACAACTATTAGTCGTTAAATTTTACTTTAGAACGTGCTTCGGCAAAAAGCTAATGCAAAGTCGTAAACTTTTTCACCATGGCCTTTGTACTTGCTTACAAATATATATCCACTGAGTTGAAACGTTAAATTTTAATATCAAATATTTTGTATTTTTTTATAAGAAAATCATTACCTGATTTTTCATCAGCACGTTTTTATCATTGAGAAGTAACAAGGCTTTGTCCATAGCATTAAGGCCAACCCAAGAGAAAGGTGTCCCAGTAACTGTAAGTTTATCCGTTGACCCGGGAATCAAAGTATATTGTTGGGGTTTTAAAGATAGCTAGAAATACAAAAAAGATTATGTGTGAACAGTGATTACTTCATACAAATTGTTTTAATTTCAACAGATGCAAATTGCTTTTCGATTTCTTGATATTCAATTATTTCAACTTAAAACCCCGTATTATTATGCCAGTTGAAAAGAATGCATTAAAATATAATTATTACTAGAACTGTGTCCAAAGGACATGGTTGCCCCCACCGACAACATATATATGGTATATAGTAAAAAAATCAACAAAGGGCCATAATTCTGTTAAATTTGGTCGCAGCGTTACTACCATCTACACATTTAGGTTGTTTATGCCTGTAAGTTTAAGCAAAATCTGCCATCCGGTTTAGGAGAAAGTGCGTTCACAAAATTTCTACAAAGTATATAGTGAAAAAATCAACAAAGGGCCATAATTCTGTTAAATTTAATCGCAGCAAAAATCCTTCCTTTACTACTATCTACACATTAAGGTTGTTCATCCCTAGAAATTAAAGCAAAATCTGCCATCCGGTTTAAGAAAAGTTGCGTTCACAAAATTTCTACATAGCATGTAGTGAAAACATCAACAAAGGGCCATAATTCTGTTAAATTTGGTCGCAGCAAAAATTCATTCCTTTACTTCCATCTACACATTAAAGTTACTCATCCCTGGAAGTTTAAGCAAAACTTGCCATCCGGTTTACGAGGAGTTGTGTTCACAAAATTTCTATATGGTAAATAGTGAAAAAATCAACAAAGGGCCATAATTCTGTTAAATTTGGTCGCAGCAAAAATTATTTCCTTTACTACAATCTACACTTTAAGGTTGTTTACCCCTGAAAGTTTAAGCAAAATCTGCCATCCGGTTTAAGAGGAGTTGCGTTCACAAGATTTCGGGACGTACGGACAGACGTACGGACGGACGGACAAGTGCAACGCTATATGCCACCCACTTTGTGGGCGGGGGGTCATAAAAATGTATGTCAACATATCAAATATGTGTATGAAGAAACATTTACAAGTAATATCTAGATATCTTCGTTTATAAACGAATCAACTTGCAAAATAAAAATACGAAACAATTAGGGGAAAGTGATTGAGACTTTCTCTACTCTTACATGTGAGTATTTTAATTAACTGTCTGACCAATAATGCATACCATAATGACATGATCATCTTTTTTAAATTCTTGAATATATTTTGAAATACAGGTTGTGTTTATCATAGATACAAAGCCTTTTTATCTACGGTTAATCTTAAAAATTACATACCCCGCTGCCTCTACACTTTGCATCCACGTCAATTTTGATAGAGTCTACAACAACCTTGTCCGTCAGTTCCTCAACGTAAAACACTAACAACCTTGCAGTCGGATTGATTAGTTCTTGCAAAGCTTCATCAATTTGTTCGGAAACTTCAAGTCCAGGTTTCTTGAAAACCACGCGTACAATTTTACCTCGTGTAACAATCTAAAACAAGATGAAAGGTTTCCTTTAGGGAGAACAACATATTTCTACGGATAGCACACTGTTTTTGGGACTTTATAGGAAACACATTTTTTTATCAATTTATGTTGTTTAGAAGAAACATGCCCGTTTTTAGTCTCCCCGTTTCACACATTCAAGAATAGCACATGTGTCAAAACAATCAAAATGAGTACTCATCTAATAAGACTTAGTTTAAGTCATTCTTCTCAGGTGTTATCCCAAGTTGTATAGATATGGCAAAATACCATAAAGCAGTTTGATTTTGATACAAATAGAATTTTGGTCGGTCGTAGTTTCTCATTTGCGTTACAATTTCAATAAGCTACATTTTTCTACTTTCTTAATACGTAAATGCATTTTCCACCTTTTCAATATCTCGGCATATTACTTCAGAACTTGAACTCCGCGAGTCGGATGTGTCGCCTTGTGAACAATAAAGTTTAAGAGAAATGGCCAGGATAAAAAAGAAATAAAGGAAAATAACTAAAACAAGAGGGCCATGATGGCCCTGAGGTCGCTCACCTGTATATAAACCCCCGGAGCGGGGCCAGTTTAAACCCCAGGGCTTTTATTTGAACATCTTAGAAGACACTCATTAGAATATGTTTCACAATGATAAGTTTTTACTACTCACATATAATGAAAAACATTGACCGCAGCTCCCCCCCCCCCTCCAGCAGGGCCAATTTCCACCCGAGGGCTTTTATTTGAACACACTTGGTAGGCATCCATAAGAAGATATTTCATGCTAAACATCTAAGCTCTAGCTCATTGGGTTTTTTAAAAGAAGATCTTTAAGTTTTTACTATACACATATTGTTACACAATGCCACTTTTGACCCCGGGGCTTTTATTTGAACAAACTTTGTAGACATTTACTAGAAGATGTTTCATGCTTAATATCTAAACTCAAGCTATTTGGGTTTTTTCAAAGAAGATTTTTAAGTTTTTACTATATGCATTTAGGGAAAATCAATGACCCCCCGGGGCAGGGCCAATTTTGACCCAAGGGCTTTTATTCGAACAAACTTTGTAAACACTCACTAGAAGATGTTTCATGCTTAATATCTAAACTCTAAGATTTTAAGTTTTTGCTAAAAACATATAAGAAAAATCAATGACCCCGGGGCGGGGCCAACTTTGACCCCAGGGCTTTTATTTGAACAAACTTGGTAGACACTTATAAGAAAATGTTTCATGCTAAATATCTTAGTTCTTTGAGTTCTTTGAGTTCTTTAAAAGAAGATTTTTAAGTTTTTACTATATGCATATAGGGAAAATCAATGACCCCCTGGGGCGGGGCCAATTTTGACCCCGAGGCTTTTATTTGAACAAACTTGGTAGGCACTCATTAGAAGATGTTTCATGCTGAATATATTAGCTCTAGCTCCTAGGGTTCTTTGTAAGAAGATTTTTTAAGTTTTTACTTATATGCATTTAGGGAAAATTAATGACCCCCTGGGGCAGGGCCAATTTCGACTCCAGGGATTTTATTTGAACAAAATTGGTAGACACTTACTAGAAGTTGTTTCATGCCAAATATCTAAGCTTTAGCTCTTAAGACTTTTTAAAAGAAGATATTTAAAGTTTTTTCTTTCGGTTGCCATGGCAACCAGAGTTTTGCATGGAATGGAATTTTTTTAACAACTTTGTTAAGGCTTCACACAAGGAACATCCCTGTGAAATTTTCTTTATGATCTGCTTTATGGTTTCAGAGGAGATGTTGTTTCAAAAGTGTGAAAGGACAACGGACGACGGACGACAGACGACGGACGAAGAGTGATCCTAATAGCTCACACTGAGCATATGCTCAGGTGAGCTAAAAATAAAAAGTGTAGAGCAGCAGTTCTTGTGCACTGCAATTCGTATCAATACGATCTATCATCATACGAAGATTCAAGTCAATAGCTTTTTTAATTTATGAGAAATGGCCTGGACAAAAAAAAAGTATGAAAATTAACAAAGGGCAATAACTAAAAAAAAGACATGCAGAGTACCGGTTTATGTAAACTGCTCTTTTTCTTAATGAGATCTATCATCCTATGAAGTTTAAAGACCATAACTTTTAAACTTTAGGACAAATAGCCTGGACAAAAATAAAGTATGAAAATTAACAAAGGGCAATAACTCAAAAATTAAGAAATGCAGAGTACCGGTTCTTGTGCACTGCACCTCTTCTTAATGAGATCTATCATCCTTTGAAGTTTCAAGTCCATAGCTTTTATACTTTAGGAGAAATGGCCCGGACAAAAATAAAGTATGACATTACCAAAGGACAATAAATCAAAAAATAAGAATTGCAGAGGACCGGATTGTATGCACTGCACTTCTTCTTAATGAGATCTATAATCCTATGAAGCTTAAAGACCATAGCTTTTATACTTTAAGAGAAATAGCCTGGACAAAAATAAAGTATGAAAATTAACAAAGGGCAATAACTCAAAAATTAAGAAATGCAGAGTACCGGTTCTTGTGCACTGCACTTCTTTTAAATGAGATCTATCAGCCTATGAAGTTTCAAGTCCATAACTTTTATACTTTAGGTGAAATGGCCTGGACAAAAATAAAGTATGAACATAAACATAGGGCAATAACTCAAAAAATAAGAATTGCAGAGTACCGGTTCGTATGCACTGCACTTCTTCTTTATGAGATCTATCATCCTTTGAAGTTTCAAGTCCATAGCTTTTATACTTTAGGAGAAATGGCCCGGACAAAAATAAAGTATGACATTAACAAAGGACAATAACTCAAAAAATAAGAATTGCAGAGGACCGGATTGTATGCACTGCACTTCGTCTTAATGAGATCTATAATCCTATGAAGCTTAAAGACCATAGCTTTTATACTTTAAGAGAAATAGCCTGGACAAAAATAAAGTATGAAAATTAACAAAGGGCAATTACTCAATAATTATGAAGTGCAGAGTACCGGTTCTTGTGTATATGTATAGCACTTCGGGTATTTATTAGAAGCATGCATACCAAGCTTGAAGTACATCCGACTTATAATGTCTTATGCTCCGGACAAGCTTAAGGGGACGCGGTCTCCGACGACGCCGACAACGACGCCGCCGACAAAAGTTACCCATATATGTCGCCTCTTTCAAATGATCATATCAGTAAAATGAAATAAGGATCCTCGGAAGTCTCACATCTGAAGCGAGCGTCTTATTACTGGACCACTCTCTGTGCAAGAAATCCATAGGATAAGCAAGGGTGCATATGCAATAGTATAACAAAGTGTCAGGAAGGTAATTAAGATTATCTTCGAACATTAAAATATGAGACATTTTGGACATTTTGTATCTTTTCATTTCTACACAATTTTGTGTTTTTTTTAACGAGAAATTTGTGTGCTTTTTTAAAAAAAATGAAAATTAAAATAGACATTGTGTTCATTTTTACCAACAGGGGTCTGTTAATATAAAGAAAAAGCGTATTTAACCTACACAAGCAATGTCAGGAACATAATTGAAATAAAGATTTTATAAAGGGGACTCTTTATAAAAATCCTCTTTTTATTATTTTGCTCAAATTTCTTTAGAACTTTAATTACACTATATATTAACATACCAAAGTGTGTCGGAATCCTGTGATATTCTAATAATTCCGGTAAGGTGAATTATCAATCTTCTAAATATTTACTTTTTAAAAAGTGATTTAGCAATATTTGATGATAAAATATTAAATACAATTATGGTATTTTGACTTTAACCTATATGCTCACAATTTACAAAATATGGGCATAGTATCACTTTTACTAATCACGTATAGTACAAGATTAATTAACCAATGATGTATGTCCTACCAATCACATGCTTCTTCGTGTACCAAAACAGATCAGGTACCCCTCCATGCCTCAATTAATTGCATTCCTATACCCGGCGGCCTATGATTCTGACTTGAAGTTCGAAAACTGCCTCGTTATGAAATGTTTTACGGTTTTAAAATGCATAACTGTGCTCAGATTTCGATGTTTCAAATACTAAAGGGAAATACCAAGGAATGTATCTTAATATGCTGAAATGTTACCCCTTAGTCTTTTTGAGAATTGACATGGTTAAAAAGAAACTCACCACAAACAACATTCCAGTGTAACTAGGACCAACCTTATTTAGCTGCAAATTTGAGTAGGCATTCATTAACATTTTGTCATCGTCCTGCAAATAGAAACACACCCACATGTAAGAGAATATCTCCCAATGGAGTTGTTTAGAAAAGGTTATGTCTGACCGACCGAACGACAATTAATTAAATTCATTTTGTAAAGACGTACCTCCAACCAATGAACATAACAGTATGTGAGCTCTCAGCGATAGAGTGCAGCCCCAGTGAGTTTTTTGTAAACTATATATTATATATGTAACAAAATTATTGTGACCTGAAAGAGTGACGATTCTAAATGCAAAGGTCGTCATTTTTAAAGTGCTTTACATGATATTAATATATCAGTCATATTTCCGTAGTTTGATAAGAGACAAACTAATGATTTAAGCTTTTTCATATATATATTTGTACTTTTCTGTTTCCAAAACATATTCGGTGAGCGTCATCCGGTTCAAACCGGGCTCTTGTGTCACAAGTAGGCTATCTTTATATGGTCTATAAATACTGAGTGTAATTTTTTTCATTAACTTATACCCAGACAAGTACACTTTCTAGTTTTTTAATCGTGGTGAATTATCAAATGTGAATTTTTCTGATTTTTCAAAACTATTTTTTATCACATTACTTTCAGTAGCCTTTTCCTTATAATACATACATTTTAGTACTAAGCCTTTTACCAGGCAATTTGATGCAAATATGTTGTTTTTTTTACTTCATAAAACACGTTTTCTTGTACATTCGTACGATCCAACATGGGCAAAGTGTTTCCAGAGCTATTTTCATTAATTAAATAGTTTACCTCAGTTTTTTACATGGGCGAGTCGGTTTACCCAATAACCCTTCAGTTTTGCAATAAAATTATAAAATTTGTAATCAAATTACAATTTTATGAATGGATTTATACTCACCTGATGGAAAATACATAAGGATATATTTCCGTTTTAAGTCAACAATCCCCTAATTAAAAATTAAAAAATCAAGCGTCTAGCGATAACAACACATTTGTGTCTCTTAGACATTGTAAACCCCAATACTTCAGTTTATTTCAAGAGTAAAACGTAAACACTAATAGTTTACTTTAGGGGTGGTGGGAGGAAACTCAATCAGGTGAGTATAAATCCATTCATAAAATTGTAATGTGAATACAAATTTTATAATTTCATTTCATGATTTATACTCACCTGATGGAAAATACATTAGGATATAGATTACAGAGCAATCTACTCAACTTTATGGAAGAGGCTGGTATTTTTAACTTCTATTCCTCTAATCCATCATTAACTATTTTCCACTAAAGTTCCCTAGAGATTAACAAATTGATGTCTTTACATAAGTTCATGTCTCTGTACTTAAACATGTATGTACTATTACATATATATTCCCACTTCTTGTGAGAAATCCTTAATATTCCCACAATATTATAAAGAAACCCAACTGTCCGCAATCCGTCGGAATTAAACTTCTTGTTAAAATAACATGTACAAATCATTCCTGGAGTTCATTAGAAGATACTTCTCTCCTACACAATTTTATGAAGGTAGTTTCTTTAGACCAGTCTGCTGCATCTAACACAGATTGTATAGAAGCACCCTTGTAAAGCGCCCAAGATGGACCTAAAGCTCTTGTTGAATGTGCTTTAACCTTTTTCGTATTGTCATCTTATGCTTCACGAATAGTATTTACTATGTATGAGCTAATTCTTTGATCTGAAGCTTTCGAATGCGGTTCATTTACAGTTAGAAAAAGACTTCATCATTTTTACCTTTACGTGTAAAAGGTTCTGTTTTCTTTAGATAAATAGCCAAAGCTCGTTTAGGATCCAACAATTTATTTTCCTTGAACTTAGGAATGGAGATTTTAGTAGAACAATGATTTGGTCTGTCTTGTGACGAACAAAGGTAATTCCATCAGATTGTACTGAAACTGAAACTGATCCTTCTCAAAGATTTAATGCCTGTAAGTCGCTGACCCTTCGGAACGTCGTAATTGCTGTAAGAAAAACAGCCTTTTAAGTAATATATTTCAATGAGGTTTTCATTAACGGTTCAAAAGGATATTTTTGAATAGCTTTTAAAACTTTCGGTAAATACCATTCAGGCAAAAGTTTACTTACAGGAGGTCTCAAATTGAACACACCTTTTAAAAGTCTTATTATGTAAGAATGTTGTCCAATGGGAAATTTCCCTTTAGGTTGTTAAACCAAGGATAGCATAGATCTATATCCAGTTATTGTTTTATTTTGCAAACCATCATAATATAAGGAGGCTAGAAATTATGCACAGTCAGTTAGAGATGCTGAAAAGGTATCATTTTGTTTGTTACTACACCAGCGACTGAATCTGTTAAATTTGGAAGCATAACCTTTTTGTGTTCCAGGTCTCCAACTGGCTGTGAGGAGTGTTCAAATTTTCTTATAAAAGCCTTTTTTTTCTTAATTGTCTGTTGATAGCAGCCATGCTGTCAATTTGAACACTTCGGAACTTGATGAAATATTTGTGAGTTTGTTTGCTGGAAAAGTTTTGGCCATGCAGGAAGTTTGATTGGATTTGCTACTGACGTTTGTAACAGAGCTGGAAACCAATGACGTCTGTGCCAAAATGGTGCAATCAGAATTATCTTGCAATGAAATTATTTCATGTGTTGTAAAACTCGAGGTATTAGACATATGTGAGGGAAGGCATATGCAAACATCCTCTCCCATGAAATTATTAAGGCATCTATTGCTAGAGCTTGGGGATGGGGAATACATGAACAAAAATTCACTGCTTTGCGATTGTAAAACGAGGCAAACAGATCTATGATATTTTGTAAATGTGTTATGGTCTGATGAAGGCTCCATTCTGTTTGTCTTGTTTTGACTCGACTCAACTGATCTGGAAGAAAGTTCAATTTGCCTGCAACATGAGCTGCTTGTAATTAAATTTTGTTCTGTATGGGAATCTGCCACATTTTCCAGGCTTGTATACATAGGGAAGGAGACTTGGTTTCCCCTTGTGTGTTGATATACTGTACTAATGAGACATTGTCTGATCGAATCAGAACTTTTTTACCTTTGACCATATAGAGCAAGGTATACTGCCTCCATCTCCAGACAATTGATATGAAGAGTTTTCTGGCTGTTTGACTAAAAACCTTGAATCATTTGAGTATCCATACACGCTCCCCACCCACTCATCGAAGCATCGGTTTGGAGTGTGAGATTCGCTGACCATGGTAGAAAAAATTTGCCCTGTAAAACATTTACCGGATGTAACCACCATGTCAGATGACTTAAAAGGTGTTTGGTTAAAGGAATTTGAAATTCTAGGTCTCTTGAAAAGGAAAGAAGATGCAACTGAATTGGCCTCGTGTATAAACGAGCATTTTTTTACAGTTTCTAAGCATGACGCCATTTGACCTAGAATGTGTAAATACTCTCTTGTCGTAGAGTGAGTTTTCTTTAATATTGTTTGTATTCCTTGAGAAATCTTTATTTGTCTGTCTGGAGTTGGAGACACTACACCTTGTTTGAGATAAAACACATTGCCTATGTAAGTTATACATTGATTTGGTTGAAGAAGTGACTTTTATACATTTATTATGAAACCTAACTGAGTGAGGACACTTATCATTCTCAATAGATCTAGAGGAAGATTTTCGTGTAAAGAATTCAGTCCCAAGCAATCGTCTAGATGAACTGCTAGACGGAAATTTTGCTGTTGTAAAAATGCTGCTACAACAGCTACTTCTTTGGTAAAAACTCTTGGAGCAGAAGTTGGACCGAATGGGAGTGAAGTCCATTTATACATTTTTTTGCCAACTGCAAATCTTCAATATGTTTTTGTGGTTTGGAAACATGGGAATATGCAAATATGCATCTTTTAGATCAATTGAGATTTCTAAGTCTCCTCTTTGAATTAAATTCAGGACTGTTTTCATGGAATTCATTTTGAAATGTTGTTTTCTGAGATACTTGTTGAGGGGTTTGAGATTGATTACTGGTCTTAAATCTTCAGGTTCTTGGGTACTAGAAACAGTGTACTGTAGAAACCTTGATTCACTTCTTTCTGAGGAACTTCCTCTATGCAATTGCTCTGTAATAGTTTTTCTACCTCCCGCAGTATAATTATTATTTATTCTTTTGGCACAATTGTTTTGCGAATTCCGTTGAATTTTGGTTTTCCTAGGAATACTAGTTTGTAACCTTGACACACTGTATCTAGTACCCACTGATCGTTTGTGATTTGATTCCTTTGATTTGCAAAGAACCTCAGGGGACCCCTAACAGGTATCTCTGGGTGTAGACAAAAAAGGTCATGTTGACTTGCTTTTGTTACAAAAATAACATACCTAACTAGGTGTGGCATTACTGCGACGATCTTGTACTTTTGGTAAAGTGAAGGAGTACGGCTTATTGAATGATCTGTTCTTCTGAAACCTTGACCTATCAGACTTTTCAAAACGTTGTTTCTTCCTGTAAGAATCGGTTGTTGCTGGAGAAGGTGGAAACTTCCTCTTACGACGTGTTTCTGGCAACAAATCTGAAAGTTGATTATTCAAGTCTTTCCTTTCCTTCGGTTTTTGCTCACGCCTTCATGAGAAAAAGGTAATCTAAAAATATGATCTTTCACATCCCTAACATCTTGTAAACCAGTGTCGGCCATAGCTGCTCTTCGCCGAATGAGATGATGGAAAGCACATGTACGTGCCATAAGATCAAGAGATTTTGTCGACATTAATTTACAAAAATGTCTCTAACACACTGAATAGCACTGTCAAAATTAAGCTTGTCACTTTGTAAAAGATTACTCAGTGCTTGTTGCATGTAATTGTTGATGATGAGCCCCATCCTAGCTGCATGTTGACCTTGATATGCCATCTTTTCTAAAGATCTTAAGGGTTGAGAACATAAAGACTGAGCTTTAGAACACTTACTACCATATTTCATAACTAGTAATGTCTCAATCATGTTATCTAGTGATGAAACTGACAAAGTTTCTTCAGATTGGTTACTAATAGGAAAAGTTAAACGATAACTTTCCTTGTAAGCTGTGAGTTTAGAAGGATCAGAACA